CTATCCCCTAAAAACTAATAATACTCTTCAAGCGAATAAAAATGATCACTGAACTTGCCTTCAAAAGCAACAGTGCCCCTCTTGCGATCAACAAAAATGGTCTCTCTACATATTAAACTAGGTAACAGAAACACAAACAGCAAGATAGACAACATATTCATAATTTGTTCCTCGTCACATAAGTTTATAGCGAAATGAACTGGACCATTATTAATTTCGTCCACGTTCACACCGACAGAAGGTGGCCCGTTTTTTAAGCAAGTGCCCCTTTTTGGTGTTGCCCCCCCCCCCCCCCCCCCCCCCCCCCCCCGTTTGAAAAGCGTTCCACCGCCCCTGATCCGGGCCTACGATTGCTCAGCTACGCCAAGTAATGGATCGTAACTTTATTGCGCAGCTGCGCAACAAAGTCTTACGAACATGACGCATGGCGTTAATTTCTCTCCCACTACGGATCAATCCACTCCAAAACAAACCTGAATCCAAGGACAAAAATATCTCAAGGGCGCCCGGGTAATGGGGATTCTGCTTTCCCAAATGTAGATGACAGTTAATTCCAAGAAATTTGACAAACGTACATAAATTTACCCAAAATTAGCCAATTATGGCTCAGCTGATATCTCCGAAAAGTGTACTGAAAAGATTCCCAAAACTTATACCCATCCCAGCAAAAATGATACCATCTTTTGATTAAAAAAATGTTTTTAAAGTGGTCAGAAATTCTCGGATCGCACAACAGAGCATCAATAACCAAAGATTTACCGGGGCTTAAGCGGACCCCGAACCCACGCCGTAACTTTTGAATCAACCTTTTCGGGAAACCAATTTTGCCCCCCCCCCCAAAAAAAATTGTGTTCTCAATCCGCCCTTGCCTCGACATCTACCTTGATTCCTCCGTTGTGAAAAACTACACCTGATGAAATAATTGGTTCGTGACTCTAACTTGGTCTTAATGGTATGGCTAGCTTAACAAGTGGAATGCTTAAAAATCTAAATATTTACGAAAATCTGTAAAGGTACTTGATCGAGTTTTGAGTCACGTGAGCATGTAAGTATTATTTCATCAGGTGCAGTTTTTTTTCAGATCAGAGGAGTCAATGTAGTTTGAATCTTAATTTGTTGATCAGGAAGGACCGCCTCTGCACTGTTATTTCGGTTGTGTAAAAATCAGACGGTTGTGTACTATATGAACCTAGCAACCCGTTGTTACACAACTTGTTCAATTGTTTTTACACAACTGGTTGCTAGGTTCATAAAGTACACAGCCGAAATAACAGCTGTAAATGTAATCAATTGAATGATGATGATATATTTTTTTTCAGATCAGAGGAGTTCAATTGTTTTTACACAACTGGTTGCTAGGTTCATAAAGTACACAGCCGAAATAACAGCTGTAAATGTAATCAATTGAATGGTGATGATATATTTTCCCCTACTGTCGTCAAAATATTCGGGTGAGAGCCCTTTCAACCCCTTCAGGTTTTCTTAAAAATATATTGCTGATTCTGTGTTTATCAACCTTTACATAACATAGTATACGGCTCTACCTTTTTGACCTCCTTTTTAAGCTTGTCCCTTGCATTTTGAAGAACACAGACTTGTACGTGAACACATAACTATAATTTACAAGTCTGTTGCGGGCGGCGGAACTGGGGGGGGGGGTGCAGGAGGGGCCTGCCGCCAGATTTTCTCAGGCCAACAAAAGTGCCCCTCTCGCGGTTGTAAATCGAGATGAAAACAAAACTGCCCCTCAACGCACACAATATGAAAGCATATGATCGCGCTACAAATAAAATTGTCTCCTCTCTTGTAATGCCAAACCGCTCCTCAAAAACACAGTACCCCTCTCGCATTAACAGGATATTGTGCATCTTCTCGAGATGGAAAACTATACCCCTCGAAGGCACAAGTACCCCTCTCGCAGTAATAAAATTGTGCCCCTCTTGAAATGGAAAATTGGCCATCAAAAACAACAGTGATCCTCTCGCTATAACTTCTCGAGATCGAAAACTGCCCCTCGAAAGCACAATTAGTGCCCCGCTCATTAAAATTGTGCCCCCTTACAAGATGGGAAACTATCCCCTAAAAACTAATAATACTCTTCACGCGAATAAAATGGTCACTGAACTTGCCATCAAAAGCAACAGTGCCCCTCTCGCGATCAAAAAAAATGGTCTCTCTGCATAGCTAGGTAAAAGAAAAACAAAGAGCAAGATAGACAACATATTCATAATTTGTTCCTCGTCACATAAGTTTATAGCGAAATTAACTGGACCATTATTCATTTTGTCCACGTTCACACCGTACCGACAAACGGTGGCCCGTTTTTTTAAGCAAGTGCCCCTTTTTGGTGTTGTGCCCCCCCCCCCCCGTTTGAAAATCGTTCCACCGCCCCTGATCCGGGCCTACGATTGCGCAGCTACGCCAAGTAATGGATCGTAACTTTATTGCGCAGCTGCGCAACAAAGTCTTACGAACATGACGCATGGCGTTAATTTCTCTCCCACTACGGATCAATCCACTCCAAAACAAACCTGAATCCAAGGACAAAAATATTTCAAGGGCGTTCGGGTAATGGGGATTCTGCTCTCCCAAATGTAGATGACAGTTAATTCCAAGAAATTTGACAACCGTACGTAAATTTACCCAAAATTAACCAATATATGGCTCAGCTGATATCTCCAAAAAGTGTACTGAAAAGATTTCCCAAACGGATCCCAGCAAAAATGATTTCCTTAAAGGGAATATACATCATTTGCTTTTGCTGTAATTTTCAGAAATGGATGGAATTGGGGGGTTGGAAATATATAGCAAATATAGTTACACTGACTTTTTTGAGGTTTTGGGTTCGAAAATGCTATAAAAACCAAGAAAAACAATCATTTTCCTGTAGTCTGGTTCCCTGACTCCATATAAGAAGAAACAGAGCAGTTTACATACATTGGGGAATTGTAAGGACAGGGAACCAGTCTAGCTGGCTTGTACCCGTTGATAGGTGTGTAATCAATTGCAAACAAGTGCGATGGTCAATTGGGGCCAGTATTTGAAAAAAGCCAGTTTTTTCCAACGCTGGTCGGCTGACCAGCGTTGGAAATTGATACAAAAATACCACTTTTCTTGAAAATGACAGTATACCAGGTGCCATGATTTTACTGGATGCTTTACACTGTCATTCACTAACAGCCCAGCAAGGTATTTCAAACTGATTTGTTAGTTTTATTTTTTTTATGTTTGCAAATGTTGTATTTTCCCTTTAACATTCCCCACAAAAAAAAAATGAAGAAGAAACACACTTGTAGTTGCATTAAAAATGAACCAGATACACACTGTAGAATCGGTCATCCTTTTGTTCAAAAGTGGCATTTTATTCATTTTGTTATTTATGTGTAAGCAACACAAAATATACAAAAATACATGTACATTCAAAGTTACTGTGACTACTCCAAACACTCAAAACAGTAGTATAAAAATACATGGACTACATCAGAATGTAGACCAATTTCTTCTTTCCCAATACAAAGCTCACACGTTCCTTTGTCACATCAAATGACAAATGTCATGATGCCAAAATGTGACATTGACAGTTTAAGCAGGCTGTTCACAGAATCAGTATAATTTCTATTCAGCTGACATCCCAATTTTTATTTACGGAATTCACATTGTCATGTTGCAAACCTTCAATCCTTACCTATATAATTGCTTAATGAACCTCAGCATCTTACTTTACAACCAATTGGTGAAGTTAACACTTCTTTTTTCAGCTGATTTTGACAAATAAAAAGAAAAATCTTGGTATTTTTGCAATGAATTTTTAGATCACAAGCACTGAATGGTGGTCTTCTTATTCATGGCATACTTTTAAATTCGGGCGATTCACAATGCAGTGCGCCACCAAAAGTTGGCCACGGAGAGTTCAATTTTCCCAGTGCATTGTGGGAGATGGTTGACAAATTCACAGCGCGGGACATTTGAAATTGTTAGTTTTTCCGGCCAGAAAGTTCGTAAGCGTATGATTCGAGTATCTGTGTGCCCTTGTCTTTTCGTTTGATCAATATGGAGTTTTTTTGTAAGGCGGCAGAACGCTTTGCCCCAATCTATAACAAATTAGCTCAAGTTTTCTACTGACACTCGTTCAAATGGGCCATGTTTTTCGACCGTGACCTTGAAAAACGAACTCTCCGTGGCAAACTCTTGTGGCGCACTGCATTGTGAATTGCCCGAATTGAGGACACAAAGTATATAAATGTAACAATGTATCCTCCAATACAAGTAAATATCTGAATTTTATTCATCAGTGAACTTTTGCACAATGTAAATGTACTTTTTTGACGAGGGTGGTGGGTGGAATGGAGACCGAATGTCATTATCCCCCTAAACAAAAATCATTTTTGTTGAGAGTAATTGAATTGTTGAACTGTCGCCAAATACATGTAGTTTGTCTCGTTGATAAAAAAGCTATGCAGCACCCCCCCCCCCTCACTTTCTCAATTTAGGGGGGGGGGGTGCATGAGGTGAGAACAATTAATAATAATAATAATAATAATAGCAGGCATTTATATAGTGCTTTTACGCCGCAATGGGGTATCAAAGCGCTTTACAATTATCATTTTCCCTTTTTCAACGGGCAAGCACTCCTGAAACCTTCTCAACTCCCTGCGGAGCATACACGGCCGGTTGGCAGCCATTTCGGCACTCTTGGCTGTAATCAACCTCTCACAGTCACCAACACTGCCCTCACAGGTACCCATCTACTCCTGGGTGGAGAGGAGCAATGAGTGACAAAGCATCTTGCTCAAGGGCACAAGCACCATAACCCTAGGTTATGGCGAGTTTTGTTCCTGCATTCAATAGGGGACATTGAACAATAGAGGACAATAGGGTCCCCAATTCCCCGAAGGTCCCCAATTGTGTACAAAACATATGAGAGGTCTTCCTAAACAGTTAAAGTACAAACAAAAGAGGGACATTAGGGGCTCCCCCATTGCAGGTAAATACACACTTGGTTTCTGGTTACCCCCACCTCCTAAACATTTGTCTGGGGACATCCATTGACATAACCCCAACAACGCATTCCTGTATTCACTCAGTGACGGGTCTAACTGCCTCCGGGCTGGCCTCTCCCATGTTGGACGGTAGAGGGGTGTTAGGCTGTGACAGGTTATTGGTTGGACTGCTGCGGGCGCTCTGGATCCAGTCTCCGCCCCCTCCCGCTCCGCCCACCATTCGCTGCTCAAAGTTCTTCCGGATGTCAAACAGGTTGATCACCGAGACCCTCTGTGTAAAGGATGGGTCAAGGAAACATGCTCCCAACACCTCTGACTTGATAAACAGCTGTGATGCTGTACCATTATAGACCTACCAGGACAGGGATATGGGTTCTACGCATGAACAAAGATCCGTGCCTCTGAAGAGATCCTTCTAACTCTTTCAGTGCCAAAGTCGTACATGTACGAGGTATATTTGTTAGTTCGAAATTGCCAACCTCGTACATGTACGAGGTAATGTTTGTACTTAAAATCGCCAAACCTCGTACATGTACAAGGTAGAGTAAGCATGTTATCACAAGGGGGCGCTCTCGCTCTTTCTAATAATATCATTTTCATTGAGGTACGACCTGTATTTATTTGTTTCCTTCGAGTTCTTGCGAGAGAGCGCAGCACTAACACTCGTATTTTCTGCAAATAGTGCGGAATTCCCCTGTGTGCAGGACAGTGTTTCAGGGTGTATCACTATGTACGTGACTACTATTGATTTTCCAATATACCAAGAATATACCAGAGAACAACAACAACAAATTTAGTGAGTAAAACTTATTTACTTTTTTGTTTACAGAATTTTGAACAATTAAAAAAAAACGCTCAAAGTTGGGCACTTTGGTGTTAAACTTTTCAAATTTTGCGGGCACTGAAAGAGTTCAGGATCTATAAGCGTTAGCCTCTAACTTCTTATGATTCATGAACAAAAGACGGTGTTTTGTGGGCACAAACTTGTAGCATTTGTGCGTGGGCACCAGGCAAGTGACTATTTGGCCACATCCAAACCTTTTGTTTAGAAGCTCCATGAATAGCCCTTGCTGTATCCTGCTATACGGTGTCGAGACATGGTCTGTGAAAGAGCAGCTTAAACAGAGTCTAGATGGCACCTACACTTGCCTCCTCACGAGAGCGCAAAATATATCGTGGAAGGAACATAAGACAAAGGCAGAAATTCATGGCAACATCCAACCTATCTCAATTCTCAACTACAGTAGCACAACGCAGAGCCCGCCTTGCCGGCCACTGCTACAGAGCCAAAGAGCAAGTTGTCTCTGACCTCATCTGCTGGAGATTGCCTTGCCCCAACAGAGGAAGGAGACCCCTCAACTACGTCGACACTGTATGCAATGATGTGAGCCAGCACGTTGATGACATCACCACGGCCATGGCGGTCAAGAGAGTTTGAAAGAGTTTGGTTTCATCCATCTCGGCTGCGGCCGCCCAATGATGATGAGGAGGGTTTGTAAGAATGACATTAAAGGCAGAGTAGGTCATTTGCAACTATCCAAAAAGTAACTCACGAAATAGTTGTTGAAAACTTTACTTGGTTTAAAGATGGGGATGCAGTAAACTTCCTGTGAAATGATTCTTACTGGCATGCTGTCATTTTGAAGAAAGCAATAAAAGAAGGCCATTTCCAAGAATGTGTCAAGTGATGCATTTTTGGAAGTTTCCGTTAGTAGTTGGTTAGTAATTTGGCAAATCCGTGAATGGGTGCGCGCAAGCGTCGACATGACGCACACGAGCACGTTTGCTATCATTCATCGGTTCAGTACATGACATCACGCAGCTGCAATCGGCTGAATAAGAACGTGTCCCGAATGCTGCTTTCGGATGCAATTCAAAACATGACATGACAACTTTTGAATTGCAATCAAGATCCTAGAATACTGTTTTCTCGGAATATACAGTGTTCACAGAGTTAAAATTCATCATGTTAGTTGTTAAGCACCCGTCTTTAAATTTTTTAGCACTTTTGTTGCTTCAAACGAAAAAAAATGCACAAATGACAAATGATCTACCCTACCTTTAACAAACACAGACAGTTTGAATAATTATAGGTCATTCAAAACTAATTCCTTCTCAGATAAAATTTTCATTCATAAATACCTCAGACAGTTTAGCCATTCCTATTGGTCGAGAGCCCGTCACGTGGCCGGTCTTAAACCGATGATAAAGACATGGCCAGCTGGTCTTAAACACTTTTCCAGTGTCACATAAAATGTGGACTCCTAAAAATCCAGTGCCTCTTACAGTTTCATTGGTTGAACGTTCACAACCCTCACATAGGCATGCACAACACTACCAGTGAGTCAGAATTTTATAGTTCTAAATTCAAAACGCAACGCCCCAGGTGCGTTCTGTGCGACATCACGCAGAACATGATACGCGCGCGTCAATCTCCATAAAAGGGTTGTTTACATCTTACTCGCCAGCTGAACACTCCATTATTTTGCTAGAGGGATAATTCAAAAAGCTGGAGTGAACTTGTTGATCAAAATCAGGATTTTTTTTAACGAATTCCTTGATTTTTTTTACCGAAAAGGTATTTATGAATGGGAATAAACATGTGCTCGGTCAGTATTAATCACTCTGTTTAAGACTGCTTAGAGTCTGGGTGCTGATAATTACCCTCGCCTCCGGCTCGGGTAATTATCAGCACCCAGACTCTAGGCAGTCTTTAACAGAGTGATTAAAACCTCTCGAGCACATATTTATTTCCTTATTAATCCTAGCTATACATGATTGGAGCACTGCTCATGCACTCAACCAATCACTGACAAGGATACATTTTTGTTTGGTAATGGTGGCAACTGGAACATGGATGGTGGTTGGGTGAGCCGCAACTGTCCTAAAGATCCTGCATAGAAAACAAAAAATTGGCTGATTTGTAGAAAATGTTTTCTAGCTCAACAAAAATGGAACAGCTCAATCCCTTATGTCTAATTCCAAATGTATTCAGAATAATCAGCAATTGTCTGTCATATTCCTTCATGAGTTTCTTCATTTTAATATTCTGTTCCATTACAAGTTTCTGCCCATGCCATTTTTTTAGATTAAACTTGAAAAAATAAATCTATTTAATTTTTTTTTTTAGAAATACAAAAGTTATTCACTTTAAAATTAGACTTCAGCGGAAAAGAAATCAGTCCATATCAAGCTATGGATTAATTATTTAACAAATAATGACGATAATTCTCGTTTCGCAGACTAGACTGGTTCCGACCTCAAGCAGAAGGTGTAAGGCTTGGGACCAGCCTACTCAGATCTGTACTTTCACAAAATCAACCCAAAATAAAAGCCTTTTTTCAGAGGACTGCAGACACCCCAAAGTAGAAAAAGCAGGATTTGGGGGTCGAAATAAGACATTCAAATGTCAAAACTTGTTAGGAGAAAAATGGTAATATCTAACAGTTAAATTGTGATTTACAAATATTGCATTTGGGTGTTTCACAATGCAGTGCGCCACCAAGAGTCTGCCACGGAGAGTTAATTTTTCCCAGTGCATTGTGGGAAATGGTCGACAAGTTCGTTTTTCTGGTCAGTAGTTTCGTAAGCGTCTGATTACGAAATTACATTATCTGCTTGCCCTTTTCTTTTCATCAATATGGTGTTTTCTGTAATGCGACAGAGAGCTACATATGCCCAAATCTACAAAAAAATAGCTCAAGTTGTCCAATGACACTCATTCAAATGGGCCATGTTTTGACGACCGTAAACTTGAAAAATTGGACTCTCTGTAGCAAACTCTCGGTGGTGCAGTGCAATGTGAATCGCCCGAATCGTTTTGAAATCAGAACTTGTTTTTTTTTTACAGTACAAAGTTGCACTGACTCACCTGTGGGATGGAAGTAGGAATGAGCTCTAGGGTTGTACAGCTGACCCGTCTTGGTGGGCATGAAGATCGCTGGAAGACACACCTCTGTAGGATATCAATCAATCAATTTGTTATAACTCTTGAGATGTTCTTACTTTCACAGGACTGCTAGACACATCTTGAACACAGTGAGTAATGTTGGTGCAATGCAAATGCAGGGTGAGTAAAACAAAAAATGTGGGCTTTTATTTTAGTGAAGTTCTGCATGTAGCACTTTCAAACATCTATAGTCCCCTGGGACTTGTGAGAAGCGATTGCGCTTCTAACTGCATGTACGGATATCCGTAGTCCATTGGGACTTTTGGAGAAGCGATTGCGCTTCTAACTGGACGGATATCCGTAGTCCATTGGGACTTGTGAGAAGTGATTGCGCTTCTAAATTAGTGTAGGGATAGCCGTATAGTCCCTTGGGACTTGGGTGAAGCAATTGCGCTTCTAGGTGTAGGAATACATCTATGATATGAAAGCCCAATTTATAAGCTTTCTTTTAGTACAAGAATCATTCAAATCACTCGTGTAATTTTCAAGTTACGGAATTTTAAACACAACCACCGTTTTAAAGTTCTGTCCACGGATCACAAAAAAAGGTGTGTGTTCTTTCAGCAAAACGAAAACAATTCACACACATCCCTATGTGATTTGTTTTGGTTTTGCTGAAAGAACACTTACCTTTTTGTGATCCGTGGACAGAACTTTTAAAACGGTGGTTGTGTTTAAAATTCCGTAACTTGAAAATTACAAGAGTGATTTGAATGATTCTTGTACTACAAGAAAGCTTATGAATTGGGCTTTCATATCCTAGATTTTGAAAGTTCTACATGCAGAACTTCACTAAAACAATGGTCCCCACATTTGGGTTTCGTTTTTTTTTTTTTACTCACCCTGTACATGTATAGGTTACCAGCCACACATTACAGAAACTCAGTTTTGACACTTTCATGGCTGGTAGTCAGCTTGATTCAAATTAGCAGTTCTACTCTTATGATCAAGGACTGTATCACTGATGTTCAAAGCCCACTCTTTATTGAGCACATAAAACTGGCCACAGCATCTTAGAATGTTTGCTTCTTAAAAAATACAACACCCGAAAAGGGAATACAATTTGAATTACATAAATGAGATGGACCTTTTCTGCGCTTTGAAATACTACCTACTGAGAGAAAACTCAACAGTATTTTTTAAAAGTGTGCAAATATATTTCTTTCACCTCTGTAAATGCTCAAAACTTTACTAGACCTCTGTCAGTCAAGAATATGGACAAAAGTCAGTCACTTTCTTTGTCTTTAAAGATAAAATACAACATTTGCAAACATCAAAAATAAAACTACCAAATCATTTTGAAATACCTTGCTGGACTGTTAGTGAATGACAGTGTAAAGCATCCTGTAAAATCATGGCACCTGGTATACTGTCATTTTCAAGAAAAGTGGTATTTTTGTATCAATTTCCAACGCTGACCGGCCGATCAGCGTTGGAAACAACTGGCTTTTTTTCAAATACTGGCCCCAATTGACCATCGCACTTGTTTGCAATCGATTACTAACCTATGAACGGGTACGAGCCAGCTAGACTGGTTCCCTGACCTTACAATTCCCCAATGTATGTAAACTGCTCTGTTTCTGCTTATATGGAGTCAGGGAACCAGACTACAGGAAAATGATCGTTTTTCTTGGTTTTTATAGCATTTTCGAACCCAAAGCCTCAAAAAAGTCAGTGTAACTATATTTGCTATATATTTCCAACCCCCCATTCCATCCATTTCTGGAAATTACAGCAAAAGCAAATGATGTATATTCCCTTTAAATAATTTCCGATACTTTCTGCAATAATTCATACAAACAGGGACGGTGTTTATACCTTTATTAGCGTCCGCGTTGCTGTCTGTCCGTAGGTTGATCTTGTATTGGCCGGCTAGCTGTTTGACGATACGATCCTCCATGTCACTCTTAGTTCTCTCGATCAGCTGCCTCCGCCGAATCTCACTCTCCTCTGAGAATAACTTCAGACGCTCAAAAAACTAAGGTAAAATGAAAGGCAAATTGATTTTTTTTTAAATTTAGGTTAACTGAACTTTTGTCTGAGGTTAGTGATCACTATGAACATCTTCATCCCTTAAAAATTCATTAAAGAGCCATTTCCCCTTGAAATTACAGTTAACTAAATTTTCACGGATTTTTCAACATATTAAAGCTACAGTCCATCATTTGTAATTTGTGCATTTTGTTCGTTTGAAGCAACAAAAGAGTTCAAAATCTAATGAAGGATACTGAGCAACTAACCTGATAAAGTTTCAGCTAAGCTTCAGCTGTACATTCCGAGAAAAACAGCATTCTAAGATCTCAATTTCAAATCAAAAGTTACTGAATCATGTTTTGAATTGCAGCTATACGCGACGTCGCGCACTGATCCGACGAATTATAACAACCGCGTGCGCGTGTGCGTCGTTTGAATACTTGTGCGCGCTGCGCTGAATAACAAAACGAACTACTAATTTAAATTTTCCTACGGTGCTTCTTAAGAATCACCGTTGGAAATGCCTCCTTTCGTTGATTACTTCAAAATGACAGCTTCCCAGAAAGAATAATTTCACAGGGAGTTTAGTTCCCTTACTATCTTTCAACCAAGTTTGTTTTTCAACAATAATTACGCCAGTTACTTTTCGGATGGCTGCAAATGATGGACTATAGCTTTAAGCCAGATTAGGAGTCCGTGAAATCACCCTTAGGAAAGTCCTTTGTTTACCCATGGAGATAGACCCAGTGTACCGTTATGTTTAACCAATGATAATCCTCAGTGGCCATGGTCATTAAAAAACCGTGAAAATACCCTTACAGGATTAGTCCTATATAAGCCCCATGTAAATGTCTGTGAAACATCTCTTAAAGATTCTTTTCACGGAGAAATGGACTTTTAATGAAAATTTAAGGGATCAGATGTTCATGAAAGTGTGAACATTCTGTGTCCATACTCACATCCATGTTTTGTGTTTCGTGTTTCTTTCATGCTCTCGTTTGGGACAGAAAGGACCAAATTTCCACGGCACTGCTAAGCACGTAATTTTTTCTGCTAACGACAGTTTGTCCTTTTGGTGGAGATGGCTGAGCAGCGAGTTCAGCAAAGGCAGTTTTTGCTTAAAACTTGAGATGTAACAATAGAAATCTCCATGTGCGTAAGTTTGAACACATCTAAGCTGAAGCACGACCAAACATTACGGTTGACTCATTACTTACGTCTTTGGGTAAGTCACTACCCCAATCAGGCAGATTGGCTGGACGTTTACTTCTACTTTTGACTGGTCTGCATAGACAAAAATGAAAGTTTTTATTAAAGAGGTTGTGGAATGCTCGCAGACATTTCCGTCATTTTTCGGGTATATGTAGCCTAAGGTGTGATGAAATAAAAACGACTATTGTTTCTGTCATAAAATGAGTACAAAAGGTACTTTTGAGAGCTGTTTTTCAAGTCCTGTCATGCCTGTTTCGACCCAAACGTGCAATTTGTGTAAAAGTCGTCGTTGCGGGCAGCAAACAAAAAACAGTAAATCGTGACGTAATAAACAGGACTCCCGATGCAGAGTAGCATAAACGAGTCCTGTTTATTACGTCACGATTTACTGTGTTTTGTTTGCTGCCCGCAACGACGACTTTTACACAAATTGCACGTTTGGGTCGAAACAGGACCTGAAAAACAGCTCTCAAAAGTACTCTTTGTACTCATTTCATGACAGAAACAATAGTCGTTTTTATTTCATCACACCTCAGGCCACATATACCCAAAAAATAACGGAAATGTCTTCGAGCATTCCACAACCTCTTTAAAACTGAATGACAAATGGTTACACACAGTAGATGGCCCCATGTGATCACACATGAGAGCTTCATATGCAGGACACATTGTGTGTGCGCACTGGTTCGCAAAGTACGCACGCCTAATTTTATTCTGTACACAAGCCCGCAGCACCTACATGTGATATGAGAGTCCGGTACCATTGGCCAAGTCGTTCAAGAGTCTCTTCTAGTGGGTAGGCCTACACCGCGTTAGGCCAAAAAAAAAAAGTCTCCGGTTTCTGGTATGCGCGCGCGTCGCCGTAGCTATGCGCGTCGGCAAAAAGAAAAAGTTTTTTTTCAATGAAAGATGATGTCTCAAAACCGCCAAACTCATTGGTTTGACTGGAATTCTGCTGCTGCACAATTTTAACGTGTTTTTAGATTGGGTTATGGTCGAGAATAAGCTTTATGTGGCCTCTCTAGACTCCCATATATTTGCACTAAGTTTAGTCGGGCACCATTTGCAGTCATCAGTCGACATTTGAAGCAAAAAAGTCAGGTAAAAAAAAAGAAAAAAGCCGCGTCGCCGCACCACTTTTTGGACAAGCTCCATACCAGAAACCGGAGACTTTTTTTTTGGCCTTATAAGGAAGTTTTTTATTGTTAGGCAAATTAGGACCGAGTTATGGGGACTTTCTGCTGTCCCCACAGCGTTTTCGGTCCCCACAAATTCCTCGTACAGACGAGTGTATGTCCCCACAACTACGGAACAGGAATGTGTGGTCTCCCGAACCTGCTCTTTGGAACTGTTAAGGGGTACTTGAGCACCGAGTCTAGGGGCTCCATACCGTCAACAAGTGAAAGTTACTGCAGTGACATTTTCTGGACGGTGCACGCTGATGATTGCATGTTTTCCATGTAAACAAACTTGAAAAATTAATAAGGTTCGTTTCAGAACCACACATCTTCTAAAAAAAGAGATTCTTCCACATGGTGTTACAGCAAACCCTCACTAGTTTAAACTTCAACAAGATACACACTGCTTGCATAGAGAGTTTTCAGAGTCCAAATTTTATTGTAAGATTGCCAAATGACATTATTGGTCGACAATTTTATAATTTCGTCCTGGTTTTTCTCAGACCTGCCACATGTTTCAGACCGTAAGCCAATTGACCTATCGCAATAGAATCGCGTCACCGCAGCTTGTGAAATTTTTGTCCAATTACATGATGTACAAATGGACGCGAAACGCACAAAATCTGAGACAAACAAAATTCAACGTACAAAATTCCATAGGGTTGTCTAAGGGGCGTGGCTAACTTGCAAACGGCGATAGGTCAATTACCTGAGCTCCTTAGCTGATTTGGTGATCCTACTGTCTGTTGCCCAACCAGCGAGGGGAGAAGTCATATTGCGGCGGTGACCTGCAAAGGAAGACCGAGTTATGAAATGTAACAACAGATCTTTCCTCCAAAATTCTGGAAATATTTTACAGAAAGTGAAACCAAAGAATACAGTTTTGAAAAATACTCTGAATGTGCTGTTGGAAATGTTTAGTTCACTACCACTAGGATTATGAAACATTCCCTGAATGTTTCTGGGCAATGCCGTGAAAATGTTGACATGGCTGTAAAAATGGAAAATTTATGAAATCTTCAAAATGCAAGCATCACAACCTCAAATGTGATATCATATTAAAGGGGACAATAAGACCATAATATTAATGATGTGCCACTAAGGTGGAATATGGTTGAGTGTTTTTTTTCTCTCAAAATACTGGTATTTTGCTGCCAATTATGGATTTTGGGTAGTCCTTTTTCACCTTGTTTTTACATGCAAAATGCAACAGTGTCACTGTAACTTTTTGTTTTTAACCCTAAAAGGGGGGAGGGGGGATTCCAACCATCAAGTGACCAAACATTTTGAAACCCAGTATATGCATAGAGCAACTCATCATGAACATACCCAAGAAATTTCATGACTATATGTCAAAGGGTTTTGGAACTATGGCTAATTAATTATTCATATGTACGAATGGTAATTCTGCTTTGTGTACATAACGTATATGGGCAAATTAGCGTCGGAAAATTTTTATGTTTTTGGTATCAAAAGATGCGCATGGCTAGAGGCTAAAAAGTCATAACAGCTCGGGTCACGAAACATTTTTTTTAAGGCTATGGCGGAAAAAGTTGAAGGGGGGGGGGCCGGTTCTTTTAGGGTTATGGAAGAGGAAAAGGTTCATATTCTATTCCAACAGAGTTTTTGTGATTGATTTTTTAGTTTCTTAATCTTTAAACTTGTGCCAAAGAGGAGAGAACAAACTGTAATGTAAATTTGTTTCAACATGAGTTACTGAAATAATCCCTTTGGAGATTTTATGCTCAATTATTTTTGAAAAATTGTAATGGTAAAATTATTTTTGAAAAATTGTAAGGGTAGAATAAGACTTACATGTATACCCCAACAATGTAAGGGCACTAACAATATTTTCCATCCGTGCACAGTATTAGGAAAACTTTCAAATGCAAGGGAGTTACATTTTTTCCATGTCCTTTTTGTGTAACGCGAGTTGCCAATAAAACGCTTATTGCAAAACCATAGAAGTTCCTTTTGTTAGCCATTTTTGTGGTAGTTTAGTCTTTTAATATCAAGGGATCTTCTATAAGAAATCTACCCTCAATGCTTGGACTAAAATTGACTTTATGAACAGCACGGAGTTGACAAAAGAGTTAGTTCGGAATTGCCACATCCAAATAAGAGTTATTTCTTCAGCTTTGACATTTCATCTAACTATAACTCCGGGAATCTCTGTGTGTCTGTGTGTCTGTCTGTGTGTCTGTACGTCGATTATCTCCAGAACCGGGCACCGTATGAAGTTGAAAATCGGCGGGTGTATTGCTCGGGACACCAGAATGTTAAGTGTCAAGTTAAAAGTTGTTTGGACGAGCGGTTCGCAAAAAAGCTGAAAAAAAAACCCCCGGAAAGTTAGCACCATTTCTCCTCATAAAAGATAAAACATTTTGGCCTCTGTACGCAAGTGCGTTGTGTGACGTCACAATTAACACTACGTACGTAGAGTTTGGTAAACAAAAAAGATGCGTATAACGTACATGTAAAACATGTGCGTTCGGCTTGTGAAAACAACACCACGCATGCGTGTGGCGCCACTGAGTTGTGTGACGTCACAATTAACACTACGTGCGTGTGCGTGCATAGAGCTAGCTGACTTTCACTGGGGGCTATTCCATTATCAACAATGGGTAAAATAAACAATATCACACTTTTCTTTGTCATTACTATTATTGTCTGTCCACATGTAAAAGAAATGCGAGTTCAACCTGTGAGTGTGCGTTCAACCTGTGACTAGGCACATTTTCAACTGGCCCTGCACTAGTTGTATCAAAAGAAAATAACAAAGCCAGAAGCCGGATTTGGAAATGGCCAGGGTGTGCATGCGCGAAGGCAAGTATTCATATTTATGGGAACACCCGACAGTGTTCAAGTCAAGTCCATAACAGGTTCACTGCAAAAGTGGTCACAAGTACATCAGAGGTGAATTCACAAATTCAGGCACGACAATAGGTCTCTCTCAAAGAAGGCCATCTCTGTAGGAGAACTGAACTGCGTATTTTACGCAATCACGCACGCATTGCGCAGTGTTTAACATGTTCCAAACACGGGCGCTGGTTGCTCGAAATGTGTTCGCAATACGACGCAGCTGATGCGCGTTATGCAAGTTGACGCTCAAACTGCCGATGCACGTGGCTGGTCTGTAGGAAATGACGTCATTTGAGAGAGACCTATCAAAGGAACATACTTGTCACAGTTTGTGACTTGACTTGAGACTGAAAGACTTGTGATGGACTAGACTACGACGCTTTTCATCGGTAGAGGTGTGAACAAACCCAAGAATCTAGGGTGTTTGGTTTTTTGTTTTACGTAGCAAAACGTTTTCAATGCATTCCAAAAGATACAACCAAGCTGCTACCTACCATCGGAAGATTTCTGTGGATTTAGCAGAGAGTTGAGCTGATCGTTTTGCAGCTGCTCCAGATTCTTAGCTAGCTCATTCAGTCTCTGCCTATCGAATTAGAAGGGGAAAAAAGGAGATTTTGTTTAGTCCATTTCAAAGAGTTCAGAAAAAGTAATAACTTTCAAAAGCGCGACCAGGCCGCGAATTTTTTTCTCCCAAACGACATCCGCATATGGGTGTACGCTATGGCGTTTTGGACTTTTCTAAAAACATGAGAAGAAAATATAAAATTAGAAAAAAAATGATTTCGAGCATTATGAAATTCAGACTTCATTTCCCTTTAAAAAAAAATCCTCCAAAGCCTCAGATTAGAAAAGAAAAAAAATTTGGGTACAAAACCGAGATTCAAAACCCAGACCCGCAACCTCGCGGTGCAAAATCCTCCTGCGTATCGACTGAATTACCGCACTGTTCGGCGAAACGTGGGGAAAATAATAATAATATACCTGCGTACCTATCACAAAAGTATCGTAGAGGGCGCTAGACAACCATGTATGCGGATGTCGTTTGGGAAAAGAAAATTCGCGGCCAGGCCTGAGAGCCAGGGCCCTTGGGCATCTGTAATCCCTACAATGAACAATAAAACTCTCCCTTGGGACCCTAGCTCAGCCAGTAATTATTGTGAAGCACTACACGTTAATAGATTGACAGCTTTGAAACTACAGACCAACTTCTGTTTTGACGCTGACCCAGAATTACAACGGGAAAAGAGCTTTGGATGGTCACATTTCAGTCTCCCAGATTAAGGGTGTGCATTTACGGGTAGTACGGGAATCGGATACGCGATTGAAAAAAAAAACCACGGGTACCCGTTAAAGAAAGCCGACCCCAAAATTAAAATCTCGGGAGTTTCTGTACAGATTGTTCATAAAGGTCCGCATGATAATACTACCTCATCGGTGCGTTAAAGCTATAGTCCATCATTTGCAGCCATCTGAAAAGTAACTGGCGTAATTATTGTTGAAAAACATACTTAATTGAAATATAGTAAGGGGACTAAACTCCCTGTGAAATTGTTCTTTCTGGCAAGCTGTCATTTGAAGTAATCAACGAAAAAAGGCCTTTCCAACGGTGCTTCTTAAGACGCACCGTAGGAAAATTTTAATTAGTAGTTTGTTTTGTTATTCGGCGAAGCGCGCGCAAGCATTGGCACGACGCACACACGCGCGCGGTTGCTATAATTCGTCGGATCAGTGTGCGACATCGCGTATAGCTGCAATCGGCTCAGTGAGAATGCGTCTCGGACGCTGAATTCAGGCCCAATTCAAAACATGATTCAGCAACTTTTGATTTGAAATCGAGATCCTAAAATGCTGTTTTTCTCTGAATATACAGCTGAAGCTGAGCTGAAACTTCATCAGGTTGTTCAGTATCCTTCATTAGATTTTGAGCACTTTTGTTGTTTCAAACGAACAAAATGCACAAATTACAAATGATGGACTATATCTTTAATACCAGATTCAAGTGTGTACAGTGAGCTCAATATATGTAGCTTTACGGTGTAAATTGCATTTTCGCAAGCATCGTTAAAATCAATATGTGTTGTGTTTCAATGCAGATTGGTTTTCATTTTGAAAATTACCCACAAATGAAATGCAAAACCTTTCTTTTTCGTTACAAAAAGTTGGTGATGGGTACTCAATTCCATAATCTGGGACTGGTTCCTGACATCAGCGGTCGGGAACTCGGGTACCCAGAATTGTGCCTGAACACTAGCCACAGATTTGAGGTACCAGTGGCCAGGGTTAGAGCCCAGCCTGGTCACCTGAAAGCCCAGCTTCATTGTATTCTGAGCTGACAATAGGAAGGTTTTAGGCACAAACACCTGGCCCTATTCAGGTAATTCAATCCCAACTCCCTAGGCCTTTTTGCTACGATGTAGCCTCAATCCTGCAAAATCCTCCAATTGGCCTCATGGGAAAAATAGCATATAGCCTCAATCCTGCAAATTCCTCCATTATTTCTTGAATATGGTCCGTGGAGAGGTAACCACTGCCTGAATCCTGCAAAATACTCCGGCTATGTCTGTCAATAAGCTGAGGCAGAGTGACATCCTGGAACAGTGCGGAGGATTTCAAGTATAATATAGGCCTAAATTTATGCACGGCAGAGCATAAACAACACAAGGTCTGGCCCAAGACCTTGACACAGTGCGTCCTCCGAAATCAGCAACGCACTTTTGCCATGTAACCCCAATCCTGCAAATTCCTCCAATTTGCAAGAAAGATTTTGGAGGATTTGGGATGGTTAGGGTTAAAGGCCAAGCCTGACTGGCCTTATCAAGCCCTTCCCTGAGGTGATGGGTTCCAATGAAGACCATTACACATACTCATATTCCTCCTGGATAAGAGAAAGCTCCTGATTATGCTGCTCCACCAGGACGTCTACTTCAGCCCTTGGGACCATCTCCTGTGATGCACAACATGAAAATAACTACATGTATTAGAAAGGAAATGCTTAACCCTTCACTGTCCAAAACTGTGAGTCACTGTACCAAAATCACGAAAGTTGCAACATTCATTATTTGTATAACTCCTTAAAACATAATCGTCGTTGTGTGGATGGGCGTCGCGAGGGGGGGGGCAAGGGGGGACACTTGCCCCCCCCCCTGGAAAAAAAAAAAAAAAAAAAAAAAAGAAGGAAGGAAAAAAAAAAAAAAAAAAAAAAAAGAGGCGCGAAGACAAAGTGGTGTAAATTTAATGAGTTGGGGGGGGGGGGGGGGCAAAATGTCCCTGCCCCCCTCTAAAACTGATAAATCGAGAATGTGTTGAGAAATACAAGCATTTTTTGGCCCAAATTTTTTTTTCCCCCTCTAGAAAAAATCCTGGCGACGCCCATGGTTGAGTGATCAGAAACCACCAATAGTTTATTCAGGCATTGTACGAAATATGATGTCACAGTTATACACGGTTTTATTACCGGTTTTTCTGAGGACACACTGGAGAGGATGGAGAGAGCAGACAGGCATCTCTCCTCATAGATCTTGTTGATCGACAGGTCCTCTTTCTTCATCTTGCTAAGGTCCACCCCGGTAAGGTCCAGCACGATGTCTGTCACTGTTTCAGATTCTGAATCAAAGACAGGGAGAAGAACTATCGTGAATTCTTTGGCTGCAGCAAACCTACTAAGAATGACGGCTGATTATGACTGCTCCAGTCAGTTTGTATTCATATTTCTATCACACAAAAAATAAAGGCAACTATATAATTACAAAGGCAGAGTAAAAGGGCTTTGGACAACTTTTGGCTGAAATTGGTATCAATGTTTACAATTTATTTGAGTGTTAAAAATGTGTATAGGCACTCTAATGCAACAAGCTTGAGTTTAGTAGACAACTAACTTGACAATTTGCCCCCTGCTTTTATAAAATTAGGCCCAACCCCCAAAGAGGCAAAATTCTGGAATTGTTTTTTCTCTTGATGTAGCACTTGGGTGAGCTGCCCAAATGCTCAAAAGAAAAGTGACATTATCTCAATCATATTTTGCACACGAAGCCCCCCACTTTTTAAAGTCATGGCCCCGCCCATAAAAGGGTCCCCTGCTTTTTTTGAAGATCTGTCATACATACTTGTGCCGCCAGACCTGATAGGTGCAGTGAAGGCATATGTTACGCTGCATTGTTGGACAATTTATGCCACACAAAATCCCCCATGCAAACTGTCCGAGGATGCACTGCAGCATACACCACCACTGCATAATTCAGATCAATCCGTAAATCCTGTTCCCTCACTAGCTCTAGTGAGTGCGCTAATTCCTGCACGAACTACACGTTGTATTCAATGTAACACTGACCTGTTTCTTTGTCATGCACAAATGGTCGGTGGACCCTGGTGTAGTAGAACGCCATTGGGATGTTACCGCAGGGTATGGGTGCACTGTTTCTGTCCTTGTGGCTGATACTGATGGGGTACAGTGGGAAGGAAGATGGCCGTAACTCCTTCAACTTCTCCTCCTCCTCAACGATTTCAATATCCTGCAGCAACATCATGGTGATACAGTTCACTCTCGTTTTAGTACAAACTCTATTAATACAAAATTCTGGTTATAACAAACATAAAGCCTAGATCTCGACTGTGCATTAATGTACAGAATGAATGGGACTGATGTTCCTCTTAATACAGAATTCTGATATAACAAACTATTTGGCTAGGTCCGAAGGGGTTTGTTATAACGAGACTCGACTGTACTTCGGTCATGGTGGGATATTTTTGTACAGTGTTTTAGAGATGTAAAGTGAGTAAAAGGCTGGATGGTTTTAGGCAGTGGCGTTATTAAGACTTTGTGAGGCACCATACAGCAAATACTGAAAGGTATAGTCCATCATTTGTAATTTGTGCATTTTGCTCGTTTGAAGCAACAAACGTACTCAAAATCTGAAGAAGGGTGCTGAACAACTAACCTGATGAAGTTTCAGCACAGCTTCAGCTGTACATTCCGAGAAAACAGCATTCTAGGATCTCGATTTCAAATAAAAAGTTGCTGGATCATGTTTTGCATTGGGCCTGAATTCAGCGTTCGAGACACGTTCTCACTGAGCCGAATGCAGCTACGCGATGTCGCGCACTGATCTGACGAATTATAGCAACCGCGCGCGCAGGTGTACGTCCTGCCAATGCTTGCGCGCGCTTCGCCGAATAACAAAACGAACTACTAATTTGAATTTCCTACGGTGCGTCTTAAAAAGCACCGTCGGAAAGGCCTTTTTTTTGGTTGATTTCTTCAAAATGACAGCATGCCAGAAAGAATAATTTCACAGGGAGTTTAGTTCCCTTACTATCTTTCAACTAAGTATGTTTTTCAACACTCATTACATCAGTCACTTTTTGGATAGCTGCAAATGATGGACTATAGCTTTAACTTATTTTTTTCCAATTCTCTTTTTTTTGTGGCAAACTATGATAAAGCTGTAATGTTTCAGGTGGATTAGTGTAGGGCTGTGCATCTGAACCGGGGACCCAAATACCCGACTCTTGACGACAGGAACCGGTTCCAGATTCTGGGATCGGGTACCCCTAACCAACTTTACAAATTACTTAGTAACTTCTCAGACTATGATACAGAAAGGTTTTGAATGTCATTTGTGGGGAATTTTTCAAAATGAAGAGCAGGCTACATGGAAAACAAAACATATTTCGCATTTATGACACTCAAGACAGTTGCTGTTTACACCGTAAGCTATAAAACTTACTGTAAAGACGGTGTACACACTTGTATCTTGCTGTATTGACGCACCAATGTGGTAGTATTATCGTGCGGACCTTTCTGAACAATTTGAACAGCAACTACTGAGATTTGAATTTTGGGGTTGGGTTCCTTTCATGGGTACCCGGTTACCCGTAAAAGCTCACCCCTAGATTTGGTGATCATCTTAAATTGCTAGCTTGCACAGTCTCTCAGCTCAAAACATAATTCAGATTAAAATGAATCAATTTTCTTCACCTTGTATTTGCACACTTTTAAAGATTCTCTTCACACTTAAAATAAGCCTGAACCATAAACGTGTATTTCTCAGCACATGCCAACAAATATTGGATTATGTTTAAAAGATGTTTTAAATATCAACATGAGAGATCTTCACAAAAAGATATGATGTTTAAAAGTAAGAAATTTAAAAGGTATTTACCATACTATGGAGGTCCTCCATACCGACCGTCCCCATGGCAACCATATCTTCCAGAGTCCCAGAATGTACGGCGATTCTCATTGGCTCCTCTGCTGATGAGATTGGCCGTGATTGGCTGGAGGTGGCCGGGGTCACTATGTCTGTGTCCGACTTGTCGGTTGCCTTCTCGTCTGGTTCCTGGACTTGTTTTTCAGGTTCGGCATCGTGCCGTATGGGCTGGTCGCCAATGGGAACTGCGACGTCGTGAAAGTTTGTGTCCGGGGGCGGGTTTTTCTTGTCGCCGTTGCCTCCGTTGCTGCTGGAATCTTTTCTGCTGGCAGCTGATGATCCCTTGGAACCAATCATGGACTTCGGTTTCAATGCTGATTTCAAGGGGGCTATGTCAAAAAAGTAGGAGTGCAACTTAGAATCAACTTCTTAAAGGGAATATACAACATTTGCAAACATCAAAAAACAAAACTACCACATTTTTACAAAATACCTCACTAGGATGTTGGTAAATGACAGTCTAAAGCATCCTGTAAATTATGGCACCAGGTGTGAAGTCATTTTCAAGAAAAGTGGTATTTTGTATACATTTCCAACGGTGATCCGCCGACCACCTTTGGAATAACCTAACTATTTTTTAACTACTGCTCCAAATTTACCATTTTTTTCAGTCCAAATGTTGTTTGCTATTGGTTACATGTTCATGAACGGGTGCAGGCCAGCTAGACTGGTTCCATTACCTTACAGTTTTCCGACATCTATAAGTGGATCCATTTCATCCTTAGTGGAGTCAGGGAACCAGACTACTTGAACACTTTTGTTTTTCTTGGTTTTTCCAGCATTTTCGAACACAAAACTTCAAACATGTCAGTGTAACAATATTTGATCTATTATACTAACCCCTCAAATAGTTCATTTCTGAAAATTACAGCAAAAGCCAATGATGTACATTCTCTTTAAGTCGTTGGTTACAGAATTCATTGCCTTAATTATGGACGGGAGTAAAACAATGCCCGATCAATGTCGAGGTGATATATAAATTGGCTTGATAACGCAAACTGCAAAATGTTAAACAACATTAAAGAGCATTCTTGAGCAGAATTTTGTCACAGTAAAGTCTAAATTTTGAAAAAATGTTCAACATAACACTCGCTTTTATTTGACCTACATTTTCCATTGCCTCCGTTCTTGTCTTCAAACACATCTGTCTTCAGGAACTTCTTCTTAAAATTGACGCTGCATTTGAGTTCCTTGTGGTCCAGACCCACAGGTTTATACAGCCTTACGTTGAGAGTGTAGTCGTACTCCGGCTCATGTGTCCAAACAACCTAAACAGGGACATAAACAAATGTCAAAACTGAGCATTTTCTGTAATAATCAGCTCAAAAATTAATTATTTTTATTGTTATTTTTCTGACAACACAAGAGTGAATCACTTTTGAATGAGACATTGAATGAAAACAAAATCCTCCTACATTCAGTTTTGGAATAATTTCTATATAGATTTTGAGTTAGTTGTTGCCTGACAATAATTTGTGCATTGGAGGTGCAAAAGCAACCCAACAGAAAAGCCTAGGTTTGGAAGGCGGGGAGCAGAAGCCAAAAAAAAACATTTTAAAAATCGTGGGTTTTTTTTGTTTAAAAAAAAAATCATACAAAGTTAAAATTTGCTCAGAGAAAAAAACCCCAACATATTTGTTGAAGAGCACAAGGCTATTTCAGAAAGCCATGCTTTAGTGGGGTGCTGTGGTCCAATGGTTACGGTGTTCAATTTGTGTGCCGTGGTACATGAGTTCCACTCCTGACCGTGGGAACATGGTGCTTGTGCTCTTGAGCAAGGCACTTTACCATTATTGCTTCGTCCTTCGGATGGGACGTAAAGCCGTAGGTCCCCTGTGTTGTGTAATGCACGTTGAAGAACCCAGTAACACTTATTGCTAAGGGAAGGATTTGCCCCAGGGTTCCTGGCAGTGGCTGCAATATGCGCCGCAGCACCTTGTCAACCCTTATAAGGTGCTATATAATGGGTCTCATATTTCTCATATACTTTATTTACCTTTTTTTTAATAATAGACATAATTTCCAGCGCCTTGAGTACCTAATTGTTGGTAGATACGTGCGCTATATTAGACTCTGTTATTATTATTAGTTACCTTATCAGCGGAGGGTGGTTTGGGTGCCGGTACCTCTACGTAGACTGTTTGAGGCTCCACTATCGTAGCTGGAGGGGCCACCTCTGACTTGGCTCCTTTCTCTGCATCCTCAGCGCTCATCCCCTGCTTAGACCTCCTCCGGAATTTCACTTTCTACAATAAAAAGGGCGATACAAAATTGATTTTTATCAAATCACAAGTGTGGTGGCAAGTTGAACAATGACAAAGGAATGACTTGTGATTGACTTGTGATTGATTTGTGATTGACTTGTGACTGACTTGTGATTGACTTGTGACTGACTTGTGACTGAGCTGTGATTGACTTGTGATTGACTTGTGATTGACTAGTAATTGACTTGTGACTGACTTGTGAATGACTTGTGACTGACTTGTGATTGACTTGTGATTGACCAGTAATTGACTTGTGATTGACTTGGGAGTGTCTTGTGACTGAGTTGTGATTGACTAGTAATTGACTTGTGATTGACTTGTGATTGACTTGTGATTAATTTGTGACTGACTTGTGACTGAGCTGTGATTGACTTGTGATTGACTAGTAATTGACTTGTGATTGACTTGTGATTGACTTGTGATTGAATTGTGATTGACTCGTGACTGACTTGTGACTGAGTTGTGATTGACTTGTGATTGACTAGTAATTGACTTGTGATTGACTTGTGATTGACTTGTGACTGACTTGTGACTGAGTTGTGATTGACTTGTGATTGACTAGTACTTGACTTGTGATTGACTTGTGATTGACTTGTGATTGACTCGTAATTGACTTGTGACTGAGTTGTGATTGACTTGTGATTTACTAGTAATTGACTTGTGATTGACTTGTGATTGACTTGTGATTGACTTGTGATTGACTTGTGATTGACCTGTGTTGCCTTGTGATTAACTGTAATGGACTTGTGATTTGACTAGTGATTGACTGTCGATTGACTTGTGAATTGACTTGTGAATTGACTTGTGACCAACTTTTCATTGACTAGTGATTGACTTGAGAGATATTTTCAAACAGGCTGTGAAGTTATTACCTTGCTTGCGGGTGTGACCATATCACTATCGATGTCTTGCTGGGTGTGACCTGTCTGTGCTGTTGCTCTTGCTGTACTTGCATCCTCATCTTCTTCTTCAGAATCTTCCTCCGTAAATTCTAGCTCATCAGACTGCGAACAGAAAATGAACAAACACCTTTCAAAACAATTACAGTTTACAACTCTGGTCAAAATGTTAAGCGTAATGTGACCTTGGTAAACTTGCACAAGTCTTTTCATTAATTTTGAAAGAACACAATGAAATTACCAACGTAGAAATAACATCCTCTACAGAACTCACTGGTAAACCAACAAATTTTTTTTGAACTATCGTGTAAATGCTGTATATTCCGAGAAAACAATATTCTAGGATCTCAAAACTTGTCGAGTCATATTTTGAACACGTTCTCATTCAGCCGATTGCAGCCGGGTGATGTCACAGACTGAACTGACGAATAGCAATCGTGCACACGTGTGTGTCCTGTCAACGCTTGTGCGCACCCATTCATGGATATACCCAATTACAAACCAACTACTTATGGAAATTTCCAAAAATGCATCACTTGACTAATCTTTGGAAATGACCTTCTTTTATTGTTTTCTTCAAATTGACAGCATGCCAGAAGGAATAATTTCACAGGGAGCTTCAGTGCCATTACTATCTTTAAACCAAGTAGGCTCTTTAACAATAACTTGGTCAGTTACTTTTTTGAATAGCTGCAAATGATCTACTTTACCTTTAATGCCTTATAAATGTTGTGTTGAAACTTTTAAGGAATCCCAAAAAGATTCAGAGAGGAGAAAGTTGCATTAGAAATGGAAAGTTCTTATTTTCTTGTGTTTCAGATGACATGAGTTGCTGACTTCAATGCATAGCTACTACACCCAACCTTACATAAACCCCAACTCCCCAGCCTAATTTACTAGGAACCATACCCATTCAGGCAAATTCCAACACCCACATGGGGAATTATACACACACTGTTGTACTTAGTTTCTGGATTTATGCCAAACCCAATGTAAAAGACCATCAGTTTAGGGGTACTGTACCTATCCCAACAGATTTAAACAAAACCTGCTGTTGTGCTTGGATGGGTTGAGTTCGGTTAGGGTTAAAAAAAAAAAAGTTGTAATGTTTGGAAGTTTGACTACATGAAGACATGCAAGGATTGTTACGGTTCTACAGTTCCAACCCCTACTGCTTGCATGGACTTACCGAGCTGATATCAAACTCATTGGCTGAAGTGTGACTGACGGAATCCTCTTTCTTCTCTTCTTCTTCTTCATTTTCTGAGTCCTCCTCTCGATCCAGGTCATCGATGTAGGCATGCAGATGCTCCATACTGTCAGAAAAAAACAATGTCTCATTAGCCCCTGTGCATTGTATTACATTGTATTTATTCCCTAAAGTCATAAGAGCTAGGCCAGGTTAACCCAAAAAGAGCTGGGGGGGGGGGGAGGGGTGGGAATCCGCCCCCCCCCCTCAACTTTTTCCGCGATAGCTTTGAAGAAAAAAAAAAATTGCAACCCGAGCTGTTATGACTTTTTAGCCTCAAGCCTTGCGCATCTTTTGATACCAAAAACATCAAAATCGGACCACGGGTTGCCGGGCAGCGAAAAATTTTGAGGCGCTACGCACCATGAAAACTTAATTTTCCCATATATGTCATGTACACAAAGCAGAATTACCATTCGTACATATGAATAATTAATTAGCCATAATTCCAAAACCTTTCGAAATATAGTCACGACATTTCTTGGGTATGTTTATGATGAGTTGCTCTTTGCATGTAACGAGTTGCAAAATGTTTCGTCCCTCGATGGGCGGAATCCCCCCCCCCCTTCCCAGCTGAGAGATGGTCAAAATAACTTTGCCTTTTTAGGGTTAAGGCAATACAGGGAATAATGGGTTAACGCCGTTCTACTTTTCACATTTTGTTCCTCCTAACCTTACTTTAATACTTTTATCATATGAATTATAATTCACCCAAGATTTCATCCCGTTCAGAGAAACCTGAAGACGAAAGAGTAATTGTCCACATGACTGCACAAATCTAGTACCCTTCCAATCTGTCACCTTTATCACACAAAATATTATATCAACATTTATATTTACAGTGCCCAGTTCCTTTGAGATTCAACACATAGATCAGGATTGGCATTACATATGTTTCACACTAACTACATCCATGACAACTAAAGTGTTATCATACTCTTTGGTCACGTTTGTCTAGAGAAAAAAAAGGTGCCGCCGGAAAAGAGGTTTTGTAAATGGGCAATGGGATATTACACTCGGAGGCTACTGACCAATTTGAAATAATAAGAAAACGTAAGGCCTAAAATTCTTGCAGTGAAAGCACATTTTATATTTTTGGTATATGGGTCATTCCACCGGGTTGGGAAGCAGTGCATGTTACATCCATATATTTGGTTATATTATGAAAAGTATCAATGCATTCTAAACAATTGTTCAACATAATATTTGTCTGAGGGTGTTTCAATACTTGAGAAAGTTTGAAATCATTTGAAATTACTTTGACAAAAATATGAGCAAAAATGTATTAATTCGGACGTAACATTGACACCGTGTCAATGTTACATCCAAATATTATTTTTTTGCCATTTTTTACACGTATGTAAAATATTATCCAAACCGACATTGCATATTTACAACTGGACACCTGAGCACCAAGAAAAGCTTTGGTTTTGTTATAGTCAGGGTTCAAATATAGCAGAAACAATACCTCAAGTGTGGATGTAACGGTGTAAAAATCACCCAATGGAAGTGTGACATTTGGGTTTTACACCGTGTCAATGTTACATCCACACAACCAAGTTATCATTTCTGCTCTATTTGATACCCGACTACCATAACAAAAGCTTTTCTTATTGTGTTGCATGTACATAGTAAGAAGTACGCAAAGTGAATTTGAGTAATGTTTCGCAGAAATTTAAAAAAGGTAAAAATGTCATATTTGGATGTAACACTGACACGGTGTCAATGTTACATCCAAACTGACTTTTTTGTTCATATTTTTGCGAAATACATTGACATGATTTCAAACTTTCTGCAGTAGTGAAACACCCAACAACAAATATTATGTAGAGCAACTGCTAGCAAGGCATTCATGCTTTTCTTAATATGGTCATATGTCACACTTTGTTCCCCAACCCGTTGGAATGACCCATAACTCTAGTTTATGTACAACATGACATGGTTAATGTAGAGTCAGCTGAATTAATTAATGAGATACGCACAGTAACTGATCGACTGTTACTAATGTTACACATTCTGATTTTTTGAATTTCAGTTTGCACTGATAAGTCTGTGAAGTTTCTTGCAAGAATTTAAGGAAATAAATATATTGTGGTAGATCATATTTAATAAATTGGATATACATATATTCTCACCCAAGTTTGGATTTCTGCTTGAAGTTATCGATGAGGAAACGCCAGCGTCGGCCATGGCCACGACTGCTGGTCAGTTTGGCAAATAGTTTCTCCCAGTTCATGATGCGCTTCTCATGTTCGATACGTTTGGCCTGACAAAAACAAACAGAAAGAACTTTTGAATCACAAACATGTATACAACTGGTTGCAATTATCATTTCTCGATAAACCAACACTCCTGAAATTACCTTTTTTTGTTCAGGTACTTCTTATCTCTTCAAACTTTTGTATTGTGCTTGTTTTTGAAAAAGACTTCGGCATGAGAATGGACCAATCTAGTAAGCACCGCCCCATGATATTCTGACCAATCACAGCCGTGATTTATGTCCGACATGCGTGCACAAAAGTCCGACATGCATGCACGCGCGTATGATGCGCGCGGCAGGAAAATCCAGTGTGGCATTGGAGAGGAGCACGTGTTAATTTGCCCAGTAAACGCAGTGGGCGGGGCTTACTGGATCGGCCCATTACTGTGAATAATCGTTTAACCATAGTTTGACATGCTTCACTTGAACCCACGCTAGATAACAATATTGGACTAGTCTGGACAACTATTCGGGACCGGCCTACCAGGGTCAAACACCTCAAAGGCAACAGTACCAGCATACATCACCATGCACAGCACGGTGCCAGGCCTAAGAAAGTTTGTAATGATGCCTTGACCATCACTTGAATTGAGACAAATCACATATTGTTATGTTACAAATTAATCCCTAGTCAGCCGATGGTCCTCAATTACACTAGCCTTGGTCAAGGCATTTGTCATTATTCGTCCATACGTGCGGTAAATGATCAGCGGCATATCCTCGCATTAAAAATACAGCGCGAGCAGCGACCTCATGCGGCCACTATTCTATGCAAATAATATGGATCCAGACGATCGCCTTGGTCCAATCGTCCATGTGAGGTTTTAGGTGTGGTGCTCATTATGCTAATAGCCTAAGCTGACCTTAAAATTTGTTTTCTTATTGGTCGATCGTTGCGTGGAAACTTGCATAGTTAGTGAGCGGTACTGGCGACTAGACATGTACTGTACATAATACATGCACACACGTTGTGTCGATGTCTCACATTACACACAGCACCAATGCACAAAAAATGTGGTTTCTGACAAGTCCGCAAAGGGCAAACAGCTCCAAATGTTTTGATGACGTCGACATTTACTAGGGTGTGATTGGACACTCCACATATTAGCCCCGCCTACACTTATCTGTATTCGCATATGAGGTTGTGCGCTGGAAATCTAGCGCAAAATAAAAAAAAAACATAAGCTTTCGCGGACGATTGGACCAAGGCGTTCTATAGGATCCAAATGATTTGCATAAAATAGGGCCACGTGAATTCGCTTTTTATGCTGTATTTTTAATGCACTATGTAAAGCGTTTATGTAAATTGTTTACCACGTACGGACGAATAATGATGAACGTCTTCACCAAGGCTACAATTACACCTGTTAATAATTGATCTCCGCACACTCTACCTGTGCATCGGCCAGCTGTAATCTCCTGATGGCAATATTCAGCTGTTTGTGTTTGCTCTCATAGTCTGAGTGAAGCTTCTTCAGGGCTAGACTCTTCTCCTCCCAGGAGCCAGAGTATACGCGGACCAGCCGTACCAACTCGGATGTGGGTGTGTACAGATCGGTGGTGCTGGAATAAGCAGAACAAAAAAGAGACCCGCTTCTATTTAAACGATGTAAAAATGTAATAGTCTCACTTACAAAACTGTTCAACTATGTATCAACATTCAGTCGTCATTTGTCTTTGATTGATAGAATACTTACCTGAATCGGCCAGAATAATGCATATTAGGTCTTAAAGGTATAGTCCATCATTTGTAATTTGTGCATTTTGTTCGTTTGAAGCAACAAAAGTGCTCAAGATCTAACGAAGGGTGCTGAACAACTAACCTGATGAAGTTTCAGCTCAGCTTCAGCTGTATATTTCGAGAAAAACAACATTCTAGGATCTCGATTTCAAATCAAAAGTTGCTGAATCATGTTTTGAATTGGGCCTGAATTCAGCGTCCGAGACATGTTCTCACTGAGCCGATTGCAGCTTCATGTACGCGATGTCGCGCACTGATCCAACCAATTACAACAAATTGGCGCGCGTGTGCGTCGTGCCAATGCTAGTGCGCGCTTCGCCACATAACAAAACGAACTACTAATTTGAATTTCCTACGGTGCTTCTTAAGAAGCACCGTTGGAAAAGCCTTCTTTTGTTGATTTCTTCAAAATGACAGCTTGCCAGAAAAAATAATTTCACAGGGAGTTTAGTCCCCTTACTATCTTTCAACCAAGTATGTTTTTCAACAATAATTTTGCCAGTTACTTTTTGGATAGCTGCAAACGATGGACTCGGGCTTTAAGCACAAACATAAGCTAATCCAGATTTAGGCACCAGTCACAAATCAGCTAAGACCCTGTCACAAGTTAAAGGTAGAGTATATCATTTTTCTTTCGTGCAATTTTTTTGAAGCTACAAAAGTGCTCAAAATCTAAAGAAGGGTGCTTAACAACTATCCTGATGAAGTTTTAGCTCAGTGAATGCTGTATATTCCGAGAAAACAATATTCTAGGATCTCGATTTCAATTCAAAAATCAGCGTCTGGGACACGTTCTCATTCAGCCGATTGCAGCTACGCGATGTCACGCACTGAATCGATGAATGACAGCAACTGCGCATGCGTGTGTGTTGTGTCAACACTTGCTCGCACCCATTCACCGATGCACTGAATTACAAAAACCAACTACTAATGGAAATTTCCAAAAATGTGTCTTAAGACGCATCTTTGGAAATGATCTTTTATTGTTTTCTTCAAGATGACAGCTTGCCAGAAAGAATAATTTCACAGGGAGTTTAGTGTCACTACTGTCTTTAAACCAAGTATGCTTTTCAAAACTTTCGTCAGTTACTTTTTGGATAGCTGCAAATGATTTGCTCCACCTTTAACAATACACAGTTACACATCAGGCAGCATCTTAACTCTTTCAGTGCCAAAGTTGTACATGTACGAAGTATATTGTTAGTTCGAAATCACCAACCTCGTACATGTACATGTACGAGGTAATGTTCGTACTTAAAATCGCCAAACCTCGTACATATATACGAGGTAGAGTAAGCATGTTATCACAAGGGGGCGCTCTCGCTCTTTCTTAAAATATCATTTGCATTCTGTTACGACCTGTATTTATTTGTTTCATTCGAGTTCTTGCGAGCGGGCGCAGCACCGACACTCGTATTTTCTGCAAAAAGTGCGGAATTCCCCTGTGTGCAGGACAGTGTTTCAGGGTGTATCACTATGTATGTGACTACTATTGACTTTCCAATATACCAAGGATATACCAGAGAGCAACAACAACAAATTTAATGAGTAAAACTTATTTACTTTTTTTTTTACAGAATTTTGAAAAAATTAACAAAAACACTTGAAGTTGGGCACTTCATGGTTAAACTTTTCAAATTTCGCAGGCACTGAAAGATTTAATAACTGCTGTCCAAATACAGTTAAATCCAGGACAAGTGTTCACGGCACTGCTGAGCACTAGTAAACATACCTTCTGAAGAGTCTTCCAGCTATCATAGTGAGTCTAGCCATCAGGGATGGAGGCAAGGCATGCAGGAGCAACTCATCCTTCAGATTTAGGAACTACAAGGACAGAAATCCGCAAGCTGAAGTCAAATATGGGATTAAGCCACCATCACAAAGACACAACTGCATGACCGATAGTTTTCTTAGTTCTTGAATTTATTAACAATTGTGATGCGATCAAGCTACATGCATGACACGAGTCGTTTGTCGACTCCGGGCAATTTTTATTTTTTTTAACAGATTTGAAAAGAGCACAATCTCAGCATTACTTCAGTGAAAACTGCATGCTGATACCATCTTTAGTTCAAAAATTATGGAAGTCGGAACACCAAGAGATGTGATGCAGTGATGTGATGAAGTGATCTTATTTTGGCCTGTATCTCCAAATGAAAATTCCCGACAAACGACTCATTTTAGCTTGATCGCATCACAATTATTTAAAGAGAGGAAACTCCAAAAGAAATTAACTGTTAAAGGGCCTTGGAGTACAGTGGAACGCCGCTATAACGAACATTGCGGGATCCACAGAAATTGTTCGTAATAGCAATCATTCGGTACAGCGATTTTAAGCTCCGATACTCATTTTTCAATAAATAGCGCCCTTCAGAACTTCACCCTGCACGCCCTGGTACTTCTAGTTACTGAAAGATGACTTTGAACACGTGCCGAATATTGAATAAGGCCCCCCCAAAAAGTCTCCGGTTTCTCGTAGGGAGCTTGCCCCAAAAGTGGTTCGGCGACGGGGCTTTTTTTTTTTTTTTAACTGGTTTTTTTTGGGGGGGGCTTCAAATGTCAGCTGATGACTGCAAATGGTGCCCGACTAACTTAGTGCAAATATATGGGAGTCCAGAGAGGCCACATAAAGCTTATTCTCTATCATAACCCCATCTAAAAACACGTTAAAATTGTGCAGTAGCAGGATTCCAGTCAAACCAGTGAGTTTGGCGGTTTTGAGACATCATCTTTTATTGAAAAAAAAACTTTTTCATTTTGCCGACGCACATGGCTACGGCGACGCGCGCGCATACCAGAAACCGGAGACTTTTTTGGGGGGCCTAATGTAATTACACAGATTGTGAGCTTACTACCGGTACCTACAGCAATATGGATGGCTTTCCCCTTCTATTCCTTGGGGAAATAATAGTCACTTTTCGCTCTCCTGTTGACATTTTTATAACATTAATATTCGGTACATTTTGTACACAAAAATCAAGAGCCAAGGACGATGTTCGGTGTAGCCAAATGTTCAGTATAGCGGTGTTTGGTATAGCGATGTTCCACTGTACTGCCGTTATAGGTAAGCACTTATTAAGACCAAGCTAAGTATTTATGACGCACATCCGTGGCCCAATTTCATGGCGCTGCTTAACAGTTAGCAGAAAAGGTGTGTTTAGCATAGTAGAATAATTTGCTAACCCTTAGCAGTATTTCACGGCGTGGATGTGCTAACGGTCACGCGTGCATGGAGATTTCCATGTTACGTCACTAAGTTAAGCAAATTTTTCCTCTGATGTAAGCGTGCCTTTTGCTGTGCTTATGCTTACGGTCTCCATGAAATGGACGGAGGCTCTGTTAGCAGAAAATTGTGTGCTTAGCAGCGCCGTGACATTGGGCCCATGTCACAATAAGTGGTTCAAAATACTGGCCTCTGGAGATTCTTATCACAGAATGAGTACAAAATTTCAAAATGTTTAAAGATCACAAACTGTAGGTTTAGGAATCCAATTCAAAAAAGAAATCAATTCTTGCAAGGACTGTTTGATCACTGAATTGCCAAAAATGCTGCCAGTACAGACCTCGGCCAGTGCCGCCTGAACCAGAGCAATAGAGTTGAGAACTCCGTCACACAGCATCTCAAACTTGTTGGTCTCTGCTTGGGTGGCCGCCTTGGCTGCTGCAAGCTCATCTTCACTCTGTTCAATTGAAAAGAAAAACAAGAAGCATGGAATTAAAAGAAAACACATTAAAGGGAATGTTCAACATTTGCTTTTGCTGCAATTTTCAGAAATAAATGGATTTGGAGGATTAGAATGATATAGCAAATGTTGTTAAACTGACTTGTTTCACGTTTTGGGCTTGTAGATGCTGGAAAAACCAAGAAAACCAATCATGTTCTTGTAGTCTGGTTCCCTGACACCACTTAAGATGAAACGGAGAAATGTGTAGACTTTGGGGAATTGTAAGGACAGAATATCGGTCTGGCAGTCTTGTACCTCTTCATTTGTATGTAATCAATTGCAAAGAAAATGCGGAATAACTTAATATGAAAAGAAATAGGAGCGGTTATTGAAAATAAGCCAGTTTTCTCCAACACTGGTCGGCTGACCAGCGTTGGAAAAATACAATTTTTCTTGATGTTAGCACACCAGGAGCCACGATTTTACAGGATGCTTTAGATTGTCATTCCCTAACAATCCAGTAAGGTATTCTGTGATAATTTGATCATTTTTTTTTTTTTTTTATTTACAAATGTTGTATCTTCCCTTTAAAGGATAAAACAAATATGTTATTATTCAAAACTTAACAGCTTCATTTTAAACATCCAACTTGGCATCAAATGCGCAGGCTTACATGTACCTACCTACAGCCATTGGTTCTAGATTTAGTGGGGTTGGCTTGGGAAGCTCATACTCACACAACTTGAAAATCTCACAAGACATCTTGGTCTTTGATTTCACTTGCAGTTTTCACCTAATGACCACCACAAATTTCAGAAAGTCTCATCTACGTACACCTTCCCATCTCATGTGAGCAAAACATTGTGGGACCGAATATTGGATGAACAATCCCACCTGATGCTGTAAGCTTGCTGTCTATTGGTCGATTAGGATTGCGTTACTCAATTCATTGTAAATGCAGGTTGGCATAATAATAGGCGGGAGTCAGGTTGGCGTAGCGGTACTTTCCTCACCTTTCACCGCTGTGACCCGGGTTCGAATCCCACTTGGGCCAATAAATGGATTGGGTTTTAGTCCCTATTCCATGGGTTTTCCCCCGAATATTCTTCTGGAATTTCCTTCCACCTCTAAAACTGTAATTTCTTCTGATTGTCTTCTCTGCAGGTTTCTTCAGGCTTGCGAGCTACAGTGCCTAGGGCGCTTTGAAGGAATCCTTGGTTCCAGTACCAGAAATTAATAATAAAAATAATTTTGAAAAATGACATAAATTTGGCTTAGGTCAAGTAAAAAAAAAATACTTTCTTGTCCTGGCTTTGTTATGGCGGTTGGATTTCTTTTGCTGATACTTTTGTGTCCAAAGCAGCCATCACCCTTTCTACCAGATTTTGAAATTAAATACATGCACATTGCTTCAGTCAATTTTGCTGGAAACAAATAAAAAGACAAAATAAATCTATGATTTAAAAAAAAGGAGGCAGGCGGGATGAGTAACTGGTTTATTTTTTACTTTACTGGGCTTTATACTCACTTCACTATCAGAGTCCCCATCTTCCTCACCCAATGGATCAAGGGTCATGACCTTCTTCCCAGACCCTGCAATAAAAATAACGTAGTGGCTATTATTACGACAGCCGTAACCTAATTTTCAATTATGACATTGCCAAAAAAACGTTGCAAATACATAGGCCAATCACGTGTATAACTGTAGGGACTAGGAATTTGTTGTTCTCTCATTTTTTAAAAATCTATAGGGTATTTTTTTTGTACTTTTTTTTTTAATCAATTGCTAGCCTACTTTTATTTTTAATTGAAGTAGATTTCATTTAAAAATCCCATCAATCCAAATGATAGAGGACATCATATTGCTTCAAAATGAATGGTAGTGTGCCATGGGTTTGTAATAGTCGCACTAAAAAGCATCAACACAGCGTCAACACAGCATCAACACATTACAGAAGCGTCAACACACCGTCAACACATCCAAAACACATTCTGAATTAACAAAAATGGTATATAATTGTAAAGCATAGAATAAAAGAGAATTTCCATTTGTTTGAGTTTCCATTTCGTTGTTAAAAATATAGTATTTTCACGCGAAAAAATGACCTTTCACTCGCACAGCCGTTGTCCGCCATCTTGACTTTGCACAAAGCTTGGACTACACCATTTCAAGTAGGGGTATGTAGGTAATGACATTATCTTGTCATAAACAACAGAGGGATACCAGATCTGTGAGGACTGAGGATCGGAGTGGTGGATCATTATTTTGTGATTTGTGTTTATGTTTCATTTACTTTATTGAAATGGACATCTTTTGGTATTGGCTGGCTGCGCCCTCTCTGTTGGTTTATTGTACAACGCTATCACCCTTTAGCATAATGGTATGGTCCGCACTGCCACTGAGGCATCATGGCAGCCGATTTCGGAGCGGCACGGAGAGCCAATTTTCTTGAACTGAAAATCGCAATTTTCAGACGTTTAACCTATCAATTTTAAGCCAAAATCTTGTTTCTGTCCATACTGTATGGGTTACATACTGCTTTTGTCACTTTTAATGCATTTTGGATGTGTTGACGCTGTGTTGACGCTTTGGAGTGTGTTGACGATGTGTTGACGCTTTTTAGTATGACCGAGTAACTTGGACCCAACTTATCGCCTTTTTAACATTCCGAGATGGTCTGGCGATAGTAGGGTCCAAGCTAGCTCTACTGAGTGGAGCGTTGAATTACGGGTACCCCTCCATACAAACGCTCCACTGATTTGCCATACTTTGGTAGCACTTACACGGTCGTCATGACGGTATGCATTTTGTGCATGCCCTCGCGAGGACAAGGCCCAAAAAAACTGATAAAGAAAATACAAATGAGAAAGACAGTAACCCTGGATAGATCCACACATTCATGACATTCCATATGACCCCTCAAATTGTTTCAAACAACCGGTAATTTTGAAAAAAGAACAAAATAGTCTGAACTTACCGCTCACAATTAAATGTGTCTGCCGAGTTGCACAGTCTATTTCACTGACATGACTGATGCATAATTCATTGCGCGCGTGTGTGACGTCACTATTGAAGAAAAACAAGTTGCGCTTACTCAATAGCTGTTTCATGTAGTCATATGTGCCCCGCGCCGTCTGACTGTGGGTTTTTGGTGCGGGGCACATATCAGTACATGAAACAGTCATTGATTAAGCGCGACTTGTTTTTCTTCAATAGTGACGTCACACACGCTCGCAATGAATTATGCATCAGTCATGTCAGTGAAATAGACTGTGCAACTCGGCAGACACATTTAATTGTGAGCGGTAAGTTCAGACTATTTTTTTTCAAAATTACCGGTTGTTTGAAACAATTTGAGGGGTCTTATGGAATGTCATGAATGTGTGAATCACAAAGAATGCTTCGTTTCAAAACGAATGTGAAGGCTAATCCAATGACAATGTATTGGGGAAAAAAAGAAATTGTCTGAAAACTGGGCAATCTATAAAAGCACGAATACATTTCTTTTGCACTGATAAACTCAAGGTTATATCATTATCAAATTCTAAAAAGTCTCGAGTCCATAAATACCTGAACCATCTGATCCGTTATTCCTAAATGAACCTGCACGGGGTGAATCTCCCATGTTGAAAAACAAAACTAGAGATCAGAAAAGACTTTGTTTTTATATCTTATTTATTTTATTTATTGGCTTATAATGTTTACTTATATTTATTGAGTTAATAATGTTATGTTTGAAAGTGTTTATGTTTTAATGCCATACTTTCCAATTTTATTTTTCTATGAAGATCTGTTCTTAATTTGTATACTCGTTACGTTGAAGTTTGGATTAAAAACAAAATAAATTGCTGTTAAATTTAGCAAGATGGTGTGAACGATGTCAATTAATATGTTTTAATGAAAATAAATAATTGGCTAAACTTTTAAAGCGCAATTTGTTTTAATGGAAACAAATAAAAATAATAAATAATTAATTACACTTTTAAAGCGCATTTCAAAATAGCATTTCAATGCGCTTTACAACGACAAAAATGTTATACTGCTGCAATACAGATATGAGATAATTTACCTTACAATTACAATGAAAATTTATACTAAACAGCATCACTGTAATAACAGATGTGACGGTATGCATTTTGTGCATGCCCTCGCGAGGACAAGGCCCAAAAAAACTGATAAAGAAAATACAAATGAGAAAGACAGTAACCCTGGATAGATCCACACATTCATGACATTCAATATGACCCCTCAAATTGTTTCAAACAACCGGTAATTTTGAAAAAAGAACAAAATAGTCTGAACTTACCGCTCACAATTAAATGTGTCTGCCGAGTTGCACAGTCTATTTCACTGACATGACTGATGCATAATTCATTGCGCGCGTGTGTGACGTCACTATTGAAGAAAAACAAGTTGCGCTTACTCAATAGCTGTTTCATGTAGTCATATGTGCCCCGCGCCGTCTGACTGTGGGTTTTTGGTGCGGGGCACATATCAGTACATGAAACAGTCATTGATTAAGCGCGACTTGTTTTTCTTCAATAGTGACGTCACACACGCTCGCAATGAATTATGCATCAGTCATGTCAGTGAAATAGACTGTGCAACTCGGCAGACACATTTAATTGTGAGCGGTAAGTTCAGACTATTTTTTTCAAAATTACCGGTTGTTTGAAACAATTTGAGGGGTCTTATGGAATGTCATGAATGTGTGAATCACAAAGAATGCTTCGTTTCAAAACGAATGTGAAGGCTAATCCAATGACAATGTATTGGGGAAAAAAAGAAATTGTCCGAAAACTGGGCAATCTATAAAAGCACGAATACATTTCTTTTGCACTGATAAACTCAAGGTTATATCATTATCAAATTCTAAAAAGTCTCGAGTCCATAAATACCTGAACCATCTGATCCGTTATTCCTAAATGAACCTGCACGGGGTGAATCTCCCATGTTGAAAAACAAAACTTTACAGACGAACTTTCGTCAACTTTCGGCGTAACGTTGCTATGCTACCCACGTTGAGGGCGCCATTCGAAATCAACAGCCGTCGGATCAGGAAGATCAGGTACTTGTACCTTCTTTACCAGCATGTAGATGGTGTTTTATTTTTAAAATTGAAATTCTTGAACAATACGTAATTCTTTAAAAACCTTTCCATATTTTTGGAACATTCAGGGTGTTTCATAAGACATTCCGATTTCATTTCTTGTTTTCCAGCAAGAATAATAGTAAACTTATTTCATGAACTACACGACATTTACAATATGCAAAGTCTGTCGATGATGTCATACCTCAAAACAGAGAAGTAAATCCTCCCGTGATTGTGACTCTGTTTTGTGACTGAGACTTCGTCACTATTTCTTTGGTGAAATTCGCCACTCTTTAAAAATCTGAAGACCAACACTGAAATCAGTAAATTACTGTGGTGAGTTTGGTTTAATTAGAGTATGCCTAGGGGAAAATATTTTTGGAAAAAATGTAAGATCCAGACGGACGCCAGTAATTGTGTACAAAGGCTATGGCATGTATGGAGAGTTGAGTGCACTACTCACTAGAGTAAGACAAGGAACACTAACTGGGGCGTTAAGAAATAGAACTCCTTTTTTAACAAATTTTTTATTTTTATTTTTATTTTGGGATGTGGTCTGTCGTACAAGCACCCCACAACGCATAAATCCTCATTAAGGTACGGAAAGTGTCAAATAAATGTCATTTTTCCAGACCATTCCCCTCAAAAGTTGCCGAAAATAACGCAAAATACTTGACAAAATACCTTTCAAAGCTCGTACTGGCTTCTCCACATGTCAAAGATGAAGTAATCGGGCTTCAGTGACATTCACGATTATTTTGGGGGTTGAAAATCCGTGAAATTCGACCAGTTTAACAGTAACACAGACATCAGTTTTGCCACCAGCTAGAGTCTAATAGTTATGCCACCTGAGCTATAAAACTTGTAGAGATCGATGATTAAGATTGCGGTACTAAGATTTACTTACCAATTGTAATACAATTCGAACAAATGATAAAAATTTACCGTTTATCAGAAAGGTCGCGAAACTGTGCATAGACGCAATTGGCATCCGTGCGGTATTCGTGACGGAGCCCTCGCTGATAATCGTAAAATTTCACTTTTCATCCAGATTGTAACTAATCTTGGTTGATGAGCATGGAAAGAGTAGATTTACATACATGCCAAATATACATTCATGTGTAACTTTTGTTATCCTATTTTTCCATTTTGTTTTTCAGGTTTTTTCAGCACAAACATCTCTATCATCAACCGTGACAATGTCGTTCCTCTTCGGAAGAAAAAAGACACCAGCAGAAATGCTGAAGCAGAACCAGCGGGCCTTGAATCGAGCCATGAGGGAGCTGGATCGGGAACGGTCGAGGTTAGAAGGCCAGGAGAAAAAGGTCATCGCTGATATCAAGAAGATGGCCAAGCAAGGGCAGATGGTGAGTAGACTCAAAAGTAAAGATTGGGTACCAGACTTGTGCATATGTTTGGAAATTTTTCCAAAAGAAAACACAAAGAGAAACAGGGGTTTATTTGAAAATTTCTGATAAAAAGCAGTATCCCCTCTGAGTGATCCCCATTTGTTATTTGCCAGGTTTGCAGCATTGAAAATGTGCCAGCATTGTGACGTTGGGTGTGATCCCTGGCTACATGGTATATACAGGTTTATGGTTTCTGACTAGCGCCCCTTGAATAATGACAGTGACAAAATCGGGAACTGTCAATATAGGCCTCGATAGCAGGAATGGCAATACAGAGGTTGCTGGTTCAGACCCCTCTCCAGTCAATATCTTTGTTCAACTTTCAACTTGTTGTAATGCACCTGGTTAGTTTCCCATTTTGGTCTATTTGCAATACTTTTCGAGATTGTTTTTGGAGAAACTGAACCCTTCTTTTTTGGTCATGTGTAATTCAAACAGTTTTGACTTGTAAAAAATACTTTGGTATTAAGAATCAGTCTTAATTTGACCCATGAATTAAGTCAAGTTTGGACTACATGTGTGTTCATTGTTTTAATACAGACAGCATTCACCCTGCCCTGACTGTGACTAGATCCTACAACAAAAAGTATCTGATGAAATTTGTTGATCAAAGCAGTGAACAAAAGATCCGTTGTCTGTGGTTCAGTCCATCACAAGCCCCATCACAAGTCCCATCGCATGTCCTCACAAGTCTCTCATAGGTTCCACCACAAGTCCTCACAAGTCAACCACAAGTCCATCACAAGTCAATCACAAGTCCTCACATGGCTATCACAAGTCCTCACAAGTCCATCACAAGCCCTCACATGACTATCACAAGTCCTCACATGACTATCACAAGTCCTCACAAGTCCCTCACAAGTCCAATCAGAAGTCCAATCACAAGTCCTTCACAAGCCCTCACATGACTATCTTAAGTCCTCACAAGTCCCTCAGAAGTCCAATCACAAGTCCTTCACAAGCCCTCACATGACTATCATAAGTCCTCACAAGTCCCTCAGAAGTCCAATCACAAGTCCTCACAAGTCCATCACAAGCCCTCACATGACTATCATAAGTCCTCACAAGTCCCTCAGAAGTCCAATCACAAGTCCAATCACAAGTCCTCACAAGTCCATCACAGGCCCTCACATGACTATCATAAGTCCTCACAAGTCCCTCAGAAGTCCAATCACAAGTCCTTCACAAGCCCTCACATGACTATCACAAGTCCTCACATGACTATCACAAGTCCTCACAAGTCCCTCACAAGTTCAATCACAAGTCCCTCACAAAATTAACTCTACTGTTTGTCTTCTTTTTTCTCCCAGGATGCAGTGAAGGTGATGGCTAAGGATTTGGTCAGAACGAGGCGGTACGTCAAGAAGTTCATCATGATGCGTGCCAACATCCAGGCTGTCTCCTTGAAGATCCAAACACTGAAATCCAACCAGACCATGACGGACGCAATGAAGGGAGTGACAAAGGCTATGCAGACCATGAACAGACAGGTGGGTAGACTATACCCTTATGACTATTCGTCTTGCTCCCCGGTTCACTCTATTTTAAGAAACCAAGGTATTTTATTTTAGAAAGTCGTTTAGGGGTTGGCATATAATTAAATTTTGTAATAAGTTATTTTTAGTAAAACTACCCAAGTGTCAGAAATCTTTTCAAATGTGTTTTCTACAGCGTATTTTTTTATCGAGAATACATTGCAATGATGCCCAGACGATATAAACTATACACATTATTACACGCTATTCATAAGGTAAACAGCCCTAAGACCGATCTTAAGTTAAGACAAGGTCAGCCGCGTTGCTAAGGAAGTTAGGACGTGTTGCACGCATCTTAAGTTTGGTGAAATCAATCCTAGGACGAGTCGCGAGATAAGATGAGACGGCTTCCCCAAGATGCGTCTTAGCGTTTCGTGAAATCGGCCCCTGGACACATTGATGGGTTTTGTAAAGAAATAGACCATCCGCTTGGTCCTGCCCAACACACACATGGGAAACCAACACATTCTCCTCTTCAGTGCCGGTGTCACGGTCTCACTTCTCCGGCGTGCTAGCTTCTCCGAGAGGGAAATTTCGCTTCAACACGCATGCGCAAAATTGCGCAGTCGCCAACTTTATTTTTGTGCTGAGTTCTTCGTGGTGCACGTAAGATCTTAAGATATTTGTATGTACACGTACGTTACTTTGTACCAGTCCAATCCAGAATTTTCGTGGCGTGCGCGCAACTCCCAATAACCAAAAAGACTTGATGCACATTTACTTTAAAACGTGGTTGCAAAAATAAAGACAAATGGGACGTGATGGACCACGAACGAGCAGAGAACACAGACCAAAGAGTTCGTTCTTAATTATTCCTCCATGAACATACACACACACATGACGCTGGGAACACAAATTAGAATGCTTGCAAGACCATGGAATGACCATACTGCTCAATAGCTGACCCACAGGAAGTGTTACATAACACATTCTTGGGTGTTCCTCACTGTGTTATTTATGTACTTGCATTGAGCACAGCCCAAGGGAAAGTAAGCACAGTGGACACATGAGCATGCATCGTGCTCATGCAGCGTGCATTGTAACGTGCTCAAATATCCGCCAAATCCACCCTGAGAAGCTAGCACGCTGGAGAAGTGAAACCGTGACACCGGTCGCGTGCGTCATGCACACACACACATATGTTGGACTTTTGTGCACGCATGTCGGACATAAATCACGGCTGTGTTTGGTAAGAGCACCATGGGGCTGGACTAAATGGATCCGTGTGTTCACTGAAGTGTCCTCAGATGACCATCTCAGCTCTTTCAAATAAACCAGTATCTTGCTCTTTTTTTTTTTTTGGTTGCAGTTGAAACTACCGCAGATTCAGAAGATCATGATGGAATTTGAGAAGCAGTCGGAGATTCTGGACATGAAAGAGGAGATGATGAACGATGCGGTGGATGATGCGCTGGGTGACGAGGACGATGAAGAGGAAAGGTAAGATGAAACGTTCTCAAGAAAGGGGGGATTTCAAAATGGTGATATTAGATAAAGTTCGCTCGTCCCCCAAACCCTATCCAAGGGGGCTGGGGATCCTAGATTTTTATACCATAAAATACCCGCTCTCCCATTACAATAGAACAAATGCCCTTGTACTTAACATTTGACTAAACAATCCCTTTGACTCCCACATTGTGTAAAATTCTACAGAACCGAAAGCTCCCAATCGCTTCAACAAACGCCCACTGTACTGAACAATCCTTTGTGAACCCCATTTGTGATTTACTCTTTCTGTATATTCAGGCAGGCATGCAACTGGGAATTTAGAAAAAACAAGGAAATTCCACATCACACAAGACTTAGTACAATGGGTTTTTTTTCTTCAATTTGCAATGGCATTCATGAGAGGTAAAAAACGAGGAAATCAGCGGATCCATGAAAAGTTGCATGTCTGCATAGTGCACCACTTACTAAATTTGAATATATTTTTTGTGAGCCTACGATCTATACATAAACTGTGCTTACCATTGAAAAACCATCAAATACCACCAAATTATTTGATGTAGATTTTACCCTTTTGTTTGCTTTTGTTGTTTCTTTCCAGTGATGCCATCGTGTCTCAAGTCCTTGATGAACTCGGTCTTGTACTCACTGACGAACTCACAGGTAAGGGGGTCTTGAACAGTCATATCAGTCTCGGGACAATTATGAAAGTCTTATTCAAGTGTTGAAGTGGCATAGTACATTCACCAAAGCACAAGACCGATCCACTGAGGCCCACTTCAGACATTTAAGGGAATATACATTTGCTTTTGCTGTAACTTTCACAAATTGATTGATTGCAAAGAAAATGCAAACTAACTAAATATGACAAATTGGGAGCAGTATTTGAAAAAAGCCAGTTTTCCCAGGGACCAGCGTTGGAAATTGATACAAAAATACCACTTTTCTTGAAAATGACAACACACCAGTGGCCCAGATTTTACAGGATGCTTTAGATCGTCATTCACTAACAGTCCAGTAAGATTTTTCGTGATAATTTGGTAGTTTTGGTTTTCGATGTTTGCAAATGTTGTAATATTCCCTCTAATGGTACAGTTTTAAAACCAACCTTTGTTTTTCTATGCCTGCAGCAATTCCGGGAACGGGAGGCCCAATGGCGCAGAAGAACCAGCCAGCCGCAAAGCAAGCCGTAGCTGCTGAGGGAGAAGCCGATGATGACTTACAGGCCAGATTAGATAACCTGAGAAGAGAGTGAGCCTTAATCCCTCACTCCTTAATCCCTTGCCTTAATCCGCTCTCCAATAATCCCCTATCCCAAATCCCCTCCCTGGTTTCTACATAATGTGATTTTAAGAGCAGAGTAAAATGGATTGGATAGCAAGGTTGTCATGATATTGACATTCTTATGTCTCTGCTTTTGAATTCACATTAACCCTAACTCCATAGCATAATTTACTAGGAGCCATACCCATCCTGGCAAATTCAAACACTATAATATAGTGTTTGAATTTGCCAGGATGGGTATGGTTCCTAGTAAATTATGGGAAACTGTGCATACATAGGATTATTTCTGACTTTGTTTCTGGAGGTGTGCCAACCCAGTGGAAAAGACTGTCAGTTTAGGGGTACTGTACCCATCCAGACAGATTCCAACAATACATGCTGTTGGGGTTTGATGGGTTGAGTTCTGTTAGGGTTAACCCCAACTCCCCAGCCTAATTTACTAGGAACCATACCCATTCTGGCAAATCCCAACACCCACATGGGAAATTGTACACACACACACACACTGTTGGACTTAGTTTCTGGAGGTATATGCTAACCCCAGTGTAAAAGACCATCAGTTTAGGGGTACTGTACCTATACCAACAGATTTAAACAAAACCTGCTCCCAAATTTGTTAAGCAAATGTAATTTACAAGCCAAAAAAAAAAAAAATTATGTACATGCAGTTGACATTTGTTGTCGGCAAATTTGACCTAAACTTTGCTATTAACTCTTTCAGTGCCAAACTCGTACATGTACGAGGTATATTTGTTAGTACAAAAGCGCCAACCTCGTACATGTACGAGGTAATGTTCGTAAATGTTCGTACTTAAAATTGCCAAACCTCGTACATGTACGAGGTAGAGTAAATATGTTATCAAAAGGGGGTGCTCTCGCTCTTTCTAATGGTACCATTTTCATGCACGTATGACCTGTATTTATTTTTTCATTCGAGTTCTTGCGAGAGGGTGCAGCACTAAATCTCGTATTTTCTGCAAAAAGTGCGGAATTCCCCTGTGTTCAGGCCAGTGTTTCAGGGTGTATCACTATGTTTGTGACTACATGTACTTTAGACTTTCCAATATATCAAGGATATACCAGAGAGCAACAACAAATTTAGTGAGTAAAACTTATTTACTTTTTTTTTTACAGAATTTTGAACAATTAACAAAAACGCTCGAAGTTGGGCACTTTAGGGTTAAACTTTTCAAATTTCGCGGGCACTGAAAGAGTTAAGCACGGTTTTGTTTTTGCAGCTCAGTGGAATTTTCTCAAACGTATTGAAGCTGTAAACTGCATAAATCATATTTGTACGTGTATTAAGCCCTTTTAGTTTTAGATGGAAAGAAATCCTTTTGATATGACCTTTGACATAGTCATTGGTATGAACAGCGTCCTCTGTTGATATATTGTAAGTACAAGTAGAACAATGTTGAACACTTTTCAGGTACACAATTTTTCATAATCAGTGAGAATAGTGTCTGCTTCGAAACAAAGTTTTTCGAATTGGAATTTCAAATTGAAAAAGTAAGCATTACAGATTTTGTAAAATTTTGTTAATTTATTTGGGGGGGGGGGAATGATAGCAAAAAGTAGTAATATGGCATTTGCCCTGACTTTTTCAAGATCCCTGAAAATTGGTTTTGTCAAGGATTTTGCAGGCTTGAGAAAACTAGAGCCAAGCTGCTATTAGATTACGTGGGGACAGATATCCCTTGAAAGAAAGCATAAAAAGAAGGAAAGGTTTCCTTTTCTTTGTAAAAGTCGACAGCATGTGACCCTAACATGCAATTTTGTAAACAAGTGTGACATGGTTTATAGCTGTCTCAATGCCTTTGCCATAACAGAGGTGTCCTGTGAGTGTACAGTGAGTGTATGTTGGTCAAAATATTAATTAAAAAAAAAATAGAAAAAGTTAGTCAAATGTAGCTACTTCTGTTTCAGCTCAGTCAAAAAGCTCATCTTATGTTTGTAATTTTTTTTTACAGATATATAACTTAACTGCAAAATTTTTGGTATTTTTTTCCTTTTCTTTGAATTATTGTATATATAATACAATCAGATTTCCTTATGTCATATAAGCATAACAGCATACAACTTACATAGAACGATCAACAATTCTACGTTTTCATGTGAAGTATTTTATGAATCAGAAAATAAAATACCTTTTGTAAATAGCAACAAATCTTTGATATTGTGATTGTGTGGAGTCAGTTGATTCTTTTCATTTCATTCGTATTTTATTTCATGTCGCAGTAGCAAATGGCGTACAAAAGAGCACATTCTCTGGGAGTTAATCAAAAGTACAAAATCTGTGGGATATCAGCAACAACTTCCATCAAAATGCAACAATCCTAACAATTGTACCTCATAAAAAGTATTTTTTATCGTTTTCTCCCACAACTTGGCTTCATCTTTACGCCTTTGTCAGAACCCACAGTATTAAGATAAACAGTCTATTTTATACAAGTACTGTTTTGCAACATGCAATCTAACATCTTCATGCTGCTTGAGTTACCTTGGCCCTCATCCCACTTCCAATTTTCATAGGTACCAGTTTCTAATAACCACTGTATCACCAATTCAGGCATGCTGTCACTTTTATCACAATGGCCCCCTCCAATGGCCAAAGCATTGTGACAATAGCTATCACAATGCTTTCGCCATTGAAGGGGGCCTTCATGATGGAATAGCTAGCGTGTCCGGATTGGTCTATAACGTAGGTGGGAACTTTCAAAAGCCTCTGAGAAAAACTGCAGAGACGTACATGTACTTCAACAGGACTCGAACCCACTACATAGAAGTGCAGGTATCTTGAGCAATTTTCCACATATCTGTTGGTTTCACAATAAATGTATACAAGTTGGAAATTTACATACCAACAACAACCCTCCTACGTGCATGTATGCAAATCCTTTGCTAGCCTTACACTGTGCACAAAACCTTCCAATATCCTGTCTGTAATTTTTGCAGGTGTAACGCTGGGTTCACAAAAAGTCGCAATCCTTTTAGCACGAACAAGTACAATGCTAAACTTGCCATACTGCTTCTTTCAAATAAAAGTGGACTTATCTTGCAGCAATACTGCTGCTAGCGTACATGCAGTCATTGTGTTTACATGTCATTTTTTTTTCAGCTTCAAAATTAAACAAGCCAGTTCATAAACCCTGTATTAAATTATAGGAACATCCCTATATGCCATCTTCAACACTTTGCTTTAAAACAGGTAGACCATGTTGCAAAGTTGCCATTTTACCATGCATAAATATTTTGTACCAACTACATGTACAATTCCTATTATTCTCTCCTTCATTCAAAGTACATGTAAACCATTTTCTCATTCGAAAACATCCACATACTGGGCCCAAGATTAGAAAATCTTTCATCAAAGACGATGTCTTGTGTATGGCAAGTTATCTTTCACATCAATGTTTCTCTTGTACAATATTTATGGCAGATGGGTAAATTTACATGTATTTTATAACATGAATGGCCATAATATTTAAAATTGTAGCCGCAATCGATTAATCATTGCTAGCACACTCCAAAGATGCTTTAAATACATACTAAATTGTATCAAATTTACAGTTTATCATAAAAAAGTATTAATGGTCCCTTAATACGAAGACAGCATATATTTATTAGGTACAAGGATCTTTCAAAAGTGATGACAGATCCAGAAAACGGGGCAACTTTATCACTTCACAAAACTTACACAATTTTGCTTTTCAGTTGTTCCTTTTAGTTGTTTAGTTCTTTTGAGTACAAAATTTGGATATACTTGCATACATGTAAGTACATGTACATATACACATTATCTATTCAAAGCAGCAGGATATTTTCAGGACCATTGCTGGTAATTTTTAAAACTTTTTAAGATTTTAGTCTTCCATGATAAAAATATGAATATCTAGTCTGTCATAACTTTTTCCCCTTTAATCTGAGTTGCTTGCACAAAACATTTATGGTTCAATAACATTCCATTCCATAAAAAAGGTAGCTGTTTCAAAGTGATACAACAAGAGACCAAATAAATGAGCAAATTTCTCAATAAATGTATTTAAACAACATTTTCTTCTTTAGAAACAAAAGTCATAGTGCTATCATCGAAACATATCCCTACTTTGACAAATTTTGGTACTTAACAACCGCACATACTTGGCCTCCTATTGAAGTTGTACATTCTCATGTTTTCGTTCTCACATTCAAACCATGAAAGCAACTTTGTGTAAAGAAAATGAAAAGTTGAGTAATTTAAATAAGGCCCACATCTTGGCAGTTTGTCTAAGATACAAAGAAGCATTCGAAAGAAGTAAGTTTACAATTTGTGTACCTATCATATTTGTTAGTATTGAATAGCGTAAATCGTTGGCAATAGAAATGTTGGTCAACTAATTCTGGAAGACCAGTTTTACTTCTAAGCAGAAATGAGGTATTAAATACCATTGAAGCAGCATTTTAAACACCCAAATGAACAGAGGAAAGGCCAGGGTTTTTGTTGATGAACCAACATTATAAAGAGTTTTTGAAGCTTTGGCTTTGTATCGGCTTTTGTATCATCTCTAGCACCACAATCATATAGAAGCCTTTGAAGCCACAACCTGAGATGTGGCCACGGTTTCAAAAACACCCATCAACTTGACAGCATGGCCAAAAGAGGGCAGCCTATACCTATGTGAGATAGAGAAGAACACTTTCATTTCACTGGTCACATGAACCGCTTAACCATGCATGAGTACCAGGGAAGTGTCCTTCATTGACAGGTATGGCTTACATTTTCACCATTGAGGGCGTACGTGTGCACAGACTCCCAGAGATAGTTCAATACTGAATGGCATTTTTCACCAAATACTGGTATTAGGCTACAAATACACCTTGCAGCCAAGCTCCATACTCCTTAAAAATGTAAAAAATCTTCCAATCAGCAAAATACAACGCAGTATTCCACAGCTCCCATTTTAAATTTAAACAATGAAAACAAAATTGATTGATCAAAGGTCACACCAAAAATCCCTATTAAAAACCTAGTACACAATCACCGGACAAATTTCACAATACTGAATTATTACACTGCGTCTACAGCCTCAAAATGAAAATCATCAACAAAAAGCCTACGTACATTGTATTAGAGAATATTTACCTCAAATATTTTATACACAAAATTTACAGCGTGATTTAATTTTTTTTGCTTTTTACATTGCACGTCACCTAACTGCACTTCCAATGTTTTCAAGAAACATGAAACAATTTGATAAAACATGTCATGTGACTATTGATCAGAGGGGTAGGACACAAAATATAAAAAAAAAACCCAGTAAAATACTAATGCACATTTCTTTCAAAATGATATGTTGTATAACCGTTTGTACAATTATGCACAAAAGATGCGTAAAATATCTACAGAGTATTCAAAAATACAATGTCACCGTTCTAAATATATGGCACACCAAGAAGGAAATAATACAAAATAAATAAATACTTTATGGTTGGTAACATGCACGTAGCTCAAAGTAATTGCACAAATATTACACAGTGAACTTTTTCTCCTGGTACCCATCAGTGTCCAAATGTGAACCACTCTCGCAAAATGAGCTTTAAAATAAAAAAGTCATGTTTTTGATTCTCATATTGAAAAAAACCCCAAGGCATTTGATTAAAAATATGCTAACTGTACTAGCACGAAGTGGCATTCAGTCTTTCAAATGCTGGATAAATCTACAAATTTTGAGATACCTTAGTTGAAAGAATTTCTTATATATCTGACAGTGTCAACAAATACCTGAGGATTTTAGTCTCATTTTGAGTTGCAACAAGATGCACTCTTTGACGGTATTATGAGGATGTTAATGTGTAATACACAGTTTAATACCTTTCAATCCCAGCACCAGAAAGCTTCTTTAAAGTTTGGTACCAATATCCAAAGTTTTTAACTCAAAGTCTTCCACAAAAAATATCCCAAACAGTACCAATAAGACTGGCGTTTAACGACTAAAAAAAATAATAGTAGGTTTTTACAATGTACATCGTTAATGTTATTCCATAAATACTTGAGACAGTTTTCCTATTGGTCAAGAGCCCAATAATTGGGTGGTTATTAACAGCCGGTGAAACACAGCTGCATTCTGCGCCCCTTCGCGCAGTTCGAGCCGTGCACCAATCTTCATAAAAAGATTTTTAGCACTACATTTGTACGCGCACGAGGCACATTTCATATGGCCAGAGGGGTGTTTCACAAAACATGAGGTAAAATTGTTAAACAAAATCGTTGGAAAATTATGCATTTTTGAATTGTTTTGATTTTGGACCAAGGGTATTTATGAATGGGAATAAATATGTACTTGGCCAGTATTAAATAAACACATTTAAAGGGAAAATACAACATTTGCAAACATCGAAAAATAAAACTACCAAGTTTTTATGAAACACCTTACTAGGATGTTAGTAAATGACAGTATAAAGCATACTGTAAAATTATGGCACCTGATGTGAAGTCATTTTCAAGAAAATGGTATTTTTGTATACATTTCCAACGGTGGTCGGCCGACCACCATTGGAAAAACCAAACTATTTTTTCAACTACTGCTCCAAATTTACCCTTTTTTCAGTCCAAATGTTGGTTGCTATTGCGTACATGTTCATAAACGGGTGCAGGCCAGCTAGACTGGTTCCCTTACCTTACAATTTTCTGGCATCTATAAATTGATCCATTTTATCTTTAGTGGAGTCAGGGAACCAGACTGCTTGAACGGTTTTGTTTTTTCTTGGTTTTCCAGCATTTTCAAACACAAAACTTGAAACACATCAGTGTAACAATGTTTGATCTATTATACTAACCCCTCAAATAGTTCATTTCTGAAAATTACAGCAAAAGCCAATGATGTACATTCCCTTTAAAACTGGCGAGGGACCTGGTTGTGCATTATTGTGTCCAGGTCCCTAGATGGTTTTAAATGTACTTGTTTAATACCTGCCAAGCACATACTTATTCCCTTTTTAATGATACAGGTAAAACATAATGTATATATCCAAATTGATACTGTCCATACCAAACATTAGAAAATAGAAATTATGTAAAAAAATAATAATAATAATATATGTATGTATACTGTTAAAATCAAACAAAAATCTGAAATAATCTTTATCAAGCTTATTCAAACTAAATGGTTTAATTTAAAGGTGGACAAGAGGTAATTGTACATATAGGCTGATCAAAACAAAGAAATGTTTACATCTTAACAGAAAGCATCATACAGCGACACCAAACGTTTGTTCTGGGTTATCCTTATAAGTGACATTTGTGTTCCCAGCGACACATCAATTCCCAATATAATGGGCAGTAATACTGAGTCACAATTGTGGCTGAGACTTTAAAATTTTGGGGGCAAAAATGCCAGAGTAACTTACATGTAAAAAAAAATAAATACATGAGCCACTGGTACCCCTGTGACATTACATGCAAATATTTATGCAATGCAAACCGGTCGGCACTAACTCTCATCACAAAGTGTCGTCGCTCAGTGACATACATGTAATATCTAATAAATAACAAATATGACTTACACTTGTCCATGTATTGCACTACGTACAAAATGTGTCATGATAGTATATGGTACAAAAGGTATTTGGTACAAAAGTAAACAAGGTTTCTAGGACCATTTGTTGAGGGTTCATTGCCATGTACATTCCACTATTAATAAAATGTGAGCTCGTCTGGCTGAAGTAATAAACATACAGCCCTGTGAAACTTCAGTCCAACTTTACTCCAAAACCTCCGAGCCCTGGCCCACTTCTTGGTGGGCTGGTCTATCATAGCAAACTACATTTGTCAAACTAGCATGTCTTTGCTTATAAATACTTTCTCCTTGAGCAAACTTGGACATGTTCGTCACTGCATGGGTGAATGGTTACATGTCTCTTAACAGTGTTGCAGTTTATATTTGTATTGGATCACAATCATCACAAGTCAAGTTATCCAGTCTTAATGGTAATATACAACATTTGCAAACATCAAAAAATAAAGCCACCACGTTATTGTGAAATACCTTGCTTGACTGTACATGTAAGTGCATAATAGTCTCAAGCATCCTGTGAAATCATGGCACCTGGTGTGCTGTCATTTTCAAGAAAAGTTGAATTTTGTATCAATTTCCAACAATGGTTGGCTGACCATCATTGGAAAAATCAGGGTTTTTTTCTTCAAATACTGCCCCCAATTTACCAAATTTAGTTAGTCCACATTTTGTTTGCAATCGGGTACACACCCGTGAATAGGTGCAAGCCACTTAGTCTGGTTCCCGGACCAGACAATTTTCCCGACGGCTATAAATTGCTATGTTTCGTCTGAAGTCGGGTCAGGGAACCAGACTACAAGAACTGCATTTTTTTTCTTATTTTTTCAGCATCTATATGAACTTAAAACTTCAAACAGCTCAGTGTGACAATACTTGCTATAAAATACTAACCCCCAATCCATCCATTTCTGAAAAAGCAAATGTTGTATATTGCCTTTAAGTGAAATCACAAGCTATGCAAATGAACTGTGACACAAAATATCGTTTGTTATCATTCGTCCCCTATTACTTGTGAAAAACATTTGTGACTGGACTTGTGAATTTACTTGCATCACAGTCACCTCAACAACACTGTGTTTTGGGCAACATAACCCTCACAACATGCGTGCTCCAAATTAAAGCTATAGTCCATCATTTACAGCTATCCGAAAAGTAACTGGCGTAATTATTGTTGAAAAACATACTTGGTTGAAAGATAGCAAGGGGACTAAAACTCCCTGTGAAATTATTCTTTCTGGCAAGCTGTCATTTTGAAGTAATCAACGAAAGAAGGCCTTTCCAATGGTGCTTCTTGAGACGCACCGTAGGAAATTTAAATTAGTAGTTCAAGCATTGGCACGACGCACACGCACGGGCGGTTGCTATAATTCGCCGGATCAGTGCGTGACATCGTGTAGCTGCAATCGGCTCAGTGAGAACGCGTCTCGGACGCTGAATTCAGGCCCAATTCAAAACATGATTCAGCAACTTTTGATTTGAAATTGAGATCCTAGAATGCTGTTTTTCTCGGAATATACAGCTGAAGCTGAGCTGAAACTTCATCAGGTTAGTTGTTCAGCACCCTTTTTTAGATTTTGAGCACTTTTGTTGCTTCAAACGAACACAATGCACAAATTACAAATGATGGACTATATCTTTAAGACTGTGAAGATTGAGAACTTTTTTCAGCATCGTTCATTTTGCAGCACATGTACAGCTCACAGACGTTTTCGCTCTTGGACAAGATTTGAGAACAATGCTTTCAACGTGACTATGCATGTCTTCATGCAGTTTTCTTAAGCAGTTTTCTCCAGCACATTTCTCAAGGTATTACAAGATGTTAAATGGAAGCAACTTGGAATAATACTTTCCAAATTCAAGTGTCTGCAAAAAGTGTACAAAAGTTGTAAAACAGCAGTACAAAATTATCATTACTACAAAATAAATCTGAATTAGTTCGACATTACCATGTATCCTCGACACGTCAATGTCTCCAAAAAGCATGTCGTGTACGCAGTTTTGGTGACAAACAAGAAGTGGGATTTAACAATAAAAAATATGCACATTTTGTTTATCTACATGCTATGACAAAAGACTCTTTGGTTGTGACCAGACATTTCACAATGGACTCAGCTGAGGCATACTTGACTTCCTCATCGATAACAAAACTTATGGCAATAATATTTCAACGTTATTAACGATTTCATTCGTTTTGTATTAAAAACGGACAAGGACTTTCTCAAGAACAAACTTTTACAAAAAAGTATCACCAAAAAGGTATCATAAAAGCAACATCGTTGTCAGTAAAAAATGGCGTAAAAGCAATGGTGCAACTTTGGCACTCCTAAAAACTTTCAACAATGAGAAATTTTGGAGTCCTCTTTCTTTACTACATCACCGACATCGAAGGTCTTTGCTTATCAATGAACATGAACCAAACCTTCGTTGCAGCATAAACCTTTCAGTCATGTCAGTAGCAAGCTGAAGTGATACAAAGCTCTCACTTATTGCCCAAATATTTGGCCAGTTTTTAGCTTTATGTGGTGGTTTCCTGTGAAAACGAGCAAAACCTGGTATAAAAAAATTGTTGATACAAAAATGCTCAATTTTCAACCTGACTACATCAGTTGGAAGTTTGATGAAACTTGGTTGCAACACGATGGCACAACTATGTATACTCAAATCTGATTGGTCACTGCAAGTCACATGACTTGCATACTCACATGTGATTGGTCTTTACAGGTCACCTGACTTGACGTCACATGAATATCCTCATTCCTCAAAGCCTACTCTATGCTCCTAAAACTAGCCACATTATTTTCAACTTGCCTAACTTTGCAGATGAAGTTCAGATGTACAGCATTGCACATGGTGTCAAAGGTCACAACACCAGGGGTCACAAAAAGGTCAATATAACAATACGAGTGTTTTCGAAATTGTGGCTTGGTTTCCAACTTTGGTTTCATCTCTGGCTTGAAAACAAACAAGCCTTAAATTTGAAACCAAATGGAAGTACCAATAAGCCAAAGTTGAGAACTAAGCCGTGATTTCGAAAACCTCCAAGGTATCTGCGCTTCATGATCCTTCATCAGAGGTCAAAGGTGAGAGGTGATAAGTCAGAGCGATGTCTCGGCCTCCATGTTGGGTATCTTTGGTGTGGGCAAGTCAAACACGATGGGTTTGTTGGAAGGGCTGTAGTTGACCGTGCAGATTGAAGCGTTGATAAACGTGGTCTTGTTGTCTGTGGTCACGCCGTAGCCCTCGTGGATGTGACCAAAGATGTGGTATTTGGGTTTGACCCGACGCTGGACCGTGGTGAGGAGTTCCACGCAGCCGGCTCGCTCTTTGGAGGTGGTCAAATCACCGTGACCTGTGGCGGTGACAAAACTCATTTAAAGGCACATAGGATCATTTGCAAACACTCAAAAACCAAACTGCCAAAATGTTATGAAATAGGAGATTTGATTGCAAGTAAATGATAGCATGAAACATCCTGTGAAATCGGTGAGCCTGGTATGCTGTCATTCTCAAGAAAAGAGGAATTTTGTATCAGAACTAATGATGGATACGACCTAAACATCACTGAAAACCAACAGTTTTCTCAAATACTACATCCGTTAAATGGTCATGAGCCAGCTGTTGACTTCATGCGTATGCTCAGGATGGCTCGATTGTACATGTATTACTTGCCCATGACAGAACCAGCACTCAGGCACTCCCTGTGACCTATGGGTTCTGTGCACGACAGATTCCGCGTGCTGCACTTTGACGATTGAAAATGAACAGCGTTTTTTCGTGTTTTGCTGCACCAATGGGCACAAAACAGATCAGTGGAACGATGCCAGGCTTTCAAGCAGACCCAGGTGAAACAGTAGGAGATCAGTATGATCAAAACTAAATTTAAAAAAAAAAGGACAAAACTAGGACTTTGGAGAACAAAATCAGGATATAAGTATTTTGCGGGCTCTCGGGTGTAGTTTTCATTATTAAATAATCACCCATAATCAATGAGATTTCATTTTTCGCATTTGTTGGGCAAGACAAAAGTAGGAAAAGTACGCATTTCAAGAAAAAAGTAGGAGCAAGGTAAAAAAAAAATAGGAAAAAGTAGGTATACTTGAAAGCCTGCGATGTCCACTGTAAATTAATAGCCGTTAAATTGGTCCATTTCATGAAATTACGACACATGCAAATGATCCTAGGTACTAAGACAAGTTAAGTTTGCGGCAGCACCATGTGAATAAATCTCTTTTGTGAGTATGTGTGGTTCTGAAAAGAACCGGAGGGACTCAACGTTTCGAACAGTATGCTCTGCCCGTCGTCAGGAGAATGAGGATGCTGGGATGTTATAAGGATGGGTGCGGTGAGGCATGAGAAGGATGCAAACTGGTGAAGCTCGAAACCGGTGAAGCTGAGAAGGATACAAGTTGACTGAAGGATGCTGGATGATCACTGGAGCGAGTCAGTACACAGTGAGGGGGCAAAAGGGAAGGAGCTCAGGATATAGGTGACCCATAGGCGAGAGCTGAACCTAAGTTGTCCTAGGGTATAGGAGATCCTAGGTACATTTAAAACTGACTCTGTGCATGAACAATAGCCATTGCCTTGTGACTCCACTGACAGTGTGGAACACACTGCCTGCCTGTGCTGGTCTAGGCATATATGTTTTGAATTTCCACGAAGAAACAGGGAAGGAAAAACAGAAGGCAAGCAGGGCCTTACCTAAGGGTGGTCCGTGCGTGACAAGGACGTCAATACCGGCAGGGATGAGGTTCCATTTGTCTAGTAGCGGCTGGCCTCTCTGTAAATTGAAGGCCCAGTCACAGAACTCTGGTTGCCTGTGAATGAAACGAAAGAGAAGACGGTTCTATCATCTGTGGTATTATAGTCAAGATTCCAACTAGGCCAGGCTCACAAGGCTTTTGTTCTTGAGCAAGATATTTTACAATGAGCAAGTATCTTGTCAGGACAAAGTTTGCCATAAAGCACACTCAGAGATGCCAACTTTACAGACTACAAAATAGTAATGATTCTTCCTGCAAAGAGTAATGCTAATGTAAATACATAGGACAGCAGTCAAGTTTAAGAGTAACCACAGTACTTTTCAGAGTAACCATAGATAAGGACAGCTGGAATTTTCAAGAGTAGTAACATGCCTCGAAATCATAATAATTACTCCTAAAGAGTAATGGTTGGCTGCACACTAGTTAACTACAAACAAGAAGAATGTAACCATGTCGGCTCTTCCCATCCACTGAGGTTATCTTTACATCTAGACTGAGGCTTTTGAATGGGCTTTCCAGAGAAAAGGCTTGTTATTTTGTAGTCTCCATGCTTTATCTAATACCAAAGTATAACTAATAAACTACTATACTACATCAGATAGTGTTAACACGTATGTAACTGGGTCATTCCACCAGGTTGGGGAACAGTGTGTGACATATGACCATATTAAGAAAAGCATGAATGCCTTGCTAGCAGTTGCTCTACATAATATTTGTTGTTGGGTATTTCACTGCTGCAGAAAGTTTGAAATCATTTCAATGTATTTTGCCAAAAATATGAGCAAAAAATGTAATTTTGGACGTAACATTTACACCGTGTCAGTGTTACGTCCAAATATCACATTTATACCTTTTTTTTCAATTTCTGCGAAACATTACCCAACTTCACTTTGCGTACTTCTTACTATACAAGCAACACAATAAGAGAAGCTTTTACTACGGTAGTCAGGTATCAAATGGAGCAGAAATGATAGCTTGGTTGTGTGGATGTAACATTGACACGGTATAAAACCCAAATGTCACACTTCCATTGAGTGATTTTTACACCGTTACATCCACACTTGAGGTATTGTTTCTGCTATATTTGAACCCTGACTATACCCAAAAAAAAGCTTTTCTTGGTGCTTAGGCGTCCAGTTGTAAATATGCAATGTCAGTTTGGATAATATTTTACATACGTGTAAAAAATGGCAAAAAAAAGAATATTTGGATGTAACATTGACACGGTGTCAATGTTACGTCCGAATTACTACATTTTTGCTCATATTTTTGTCAAAGTTATTTCAAATGATTTCAAACTTTCTCAAGTATTGAAACACCTTAAGACAAATATTATGTTGAGCAATTGTTTAGAATGCATTGATACTTTTAATAATATAACCAAATATATGGATGTAACATGCACTGCTTCCCAACCCGGTGGAATGACCCAACTACTACCTACACTGTATGTTCCACAATATCAATGTGAACTGTAAAAGTCTGACTTTCACTAAAATCACCTCAAGAATAATATTGTAAAAAAAAATTAGGCATGTCCATGTACTTCAGACTTCAACAAAATTGTGTGAAGCAACGGTATAAAGGTAGCTGGAATCAAAATTTATGAACATCTTGAATTGAAGAAAATAGGGGGTGTATAGTTTGATGTATATGGGGCAGAAGTAGGACTTAAAGGGAATATACAACATTTGCAAACATCGAAAAATAAAACTACCAAGTTTTTAAGAAATACCATACTAGGATGTTGGTAAATGACAGTCTAAAGCATCCTGTAAAATTATGGCACCTGGTGTGAAGTCATTTTCAAGAAAATGGTATTTTTGTATATATTTCCAACGGTGGTCGGCCGACCACCGTTGGAAAAACCTAACTATATTTCAACTACTGCTCCAAATTTACCTTTTTTCAGTCCAAATTTTGTTTGGTATTGGTTACATGTTCATGAACGGGTGCAGGCCAGCTAGACTGGTTCACTTACCTTACAATTTTCTGGCAACTATAAATTGATCCATTTCATCTTTAGTGGAGTCAGGGAACCAGACTACTTGAACAATTTTGTTTTTCTTGGTTTTTCCAGATTTCGAACATACAACTTCAAACAAGTCAGTGTAACAATATTTGATATATTATACTAACCCCTCAAATACTCCATTTCTGAAAATTACAGCAAAAGCCAATGATGTACATTCCCTTTAACATGATAAACATTTACAAGAATACAGTTGACATGGTAGAAACTTTGTACACAAATTCCCACGTTACCATGGTGATCCATAGATGCGGAATCCCATGATGTTGACCTCGGCATCCTCCAGGTAGGTGCAGTTGGTCAGCAAGGCCGGGATGTGCTTCCAGTCTTCCTGCTTGACCTCCTGCAACGCGGTGGCAAAGCTCATGAAGACGTGGCTGTTCTGCTCCGTCATCAGCTGCCGGTCAAAGGTCACCTCGTGGTTACCGGCGATCACGATCTTGTGCCGGTGGGGCAAGTGGCCTGAAAAACGGGAAGAAGAAGATTTGAAGAATTTTTTTCTGGAACCTTTGAAAAGGTGACAGACATTATGCTAGGACCGAAGGGAAAGCCTACACACCTCTGACGGAGTCTCTGACTGACTGACTGACTGAATCACTGACTAAAAATGGGCTGAAATGAAACATTCAGACCAAGCTCGGTTTCGGCTAGCCTAAGCCTAGTTGCTATCAATTTGAATTTAAAGGTAGAGTTTATCATTTGTCATTTGTGCATTTTTTTGTTTGAAGCAACAAAAATGCTCTTTATCTAGAGAAGGGTGCTTAAAGGGACACTAGGTCCTGGAACAGCCCAATTGGGCTACAAAACGCGCTTGGAACGAGATGATGTTAATCGGAATTAACATTTAAAATTAGGATATAAACATCCACACAACTATCCTTTTAAAGCTGGGCATTTTTGTGTTATTCCTGTATTATGCGTGCGAGACGAATTTCGGGGTCCACTTTTGCGACCCCATAAATTCGAGCTGTCCGGATGCTAGTTGTGATTTCATTCGTTGAGTGTTCCCCTTTTGCGGACGTTGAAGAAACTATTTTTTTTTGCATTGGTGATTGGTCACCGCTGTTCCCAAGACACACAACGTGTATATCGTACACTGAGAACGACACGAAAAACTAAATTTGTACTCCGTCATGTCCGATGTAAACAACCGGTTTTTTTTTCGTCTTTCTCGGGAATGGTAAGACATTAGGTTAGTTTTCTTTCAACCAGATGTTTGAAATAGGCTAAGTAAACAATCCAAAACATAAAATTTTAGGGGATTTCAGGACCTAGTGCCTTTTTAACAACTAACCTGATGATGTTTAAGCTTAGTGAATGCTGTATATGCTGAGAAAACAATATTCTAGGATCTCGAATTTCAATTCAAAAGTTGCTGAATCATGTTTTGAATTGCATCCGAAATCAGCGTCCGGGACATGTTCTCATTCACCCGATTGCAGCTACGCGATGTCAAGCACTGAACCGACGAATTATAGCAACCGCGCACGCCTGTGCATCGTATAAACACTAGCCGCGCACCCATTCATGGCTTCGCCCAATTAAAAACGAACTACTAATGGAAATTTCCAAAAATGTGTCTTCAGACACATCTTTGGAAATGACATTCTTTTATTGTTTTTTTCATAATGACAGCATGCCAGAAGAATCATTTCACTGGGAGTTTAGTGCCATTACTATCTTTAAACCAGGTATGTTTTTCAATAATAATTTTGTCAGTTACTTTTTTGATAGCTGCAAATGATATACATACACCAAGCGTTGCTGGTACCGGTACCTGTGATAAACATGCCTTGTGAGGGCATTTTTTTTTTTTTAAATTTAGGTTGACTCTTGCATATTTCAGTGATACAAAACCATTGCCCTCTGACTCCACTTTAATGCATAAGGTCCATACAACTGTACATAAAATGTATACTAAGCATGAAAACAATTGAACATTTTGTTTGTCCTTCAGAAGTTTAGAAAAAACTAATCGTCTATAACCTCACCCAGAAACTCATTGAAGGCTACCACTTCCCTTGGCAGTCCAATGTTGCTGAAATTCCCAGCGTGGATCAAGATATCCCCCTCCGGAATCTTAGCCATGTGACTCGTCCTCGAAAAGGTGTCGGAGATGCAAACGAACCTGGTGTGATCTGTGCGACAACAGACAGAAAACGGGTACGGTAGACTCACCTAAGAATTCGTTGAATCTCTTAACTTCACTCGGGCGACCCGTGTTGGTGAAGTCGCCCGCGTGGATCAGAACGTCGCCGGCGGGGAGAGTTTGGATAAGTCGGGCCGCTTGGTTGTGCGTGTCGGAAATACAGACAAAGCGTACGGCCCCTGATATGGACGCAACACAGGAAAAAAAAACGTGCATGGGGACAAGGGTACAGCTTGAGATGGGATGAGATGACTGCATGCAAGGTGGAACGTAACAATCCAGTAAAACATTACCAGCACTAGAAAACTTTGATGCTCCTATGGAAACATGCATTGTCAGCCTAGTTATTACTTGGGTCAATATTGGTCAAGACCCCCATTGGTTTGTACACAGTAGGCCAGGAGGTGAGGAAGAAAATTTTGACCATTGGTGACCTCTTAAGCAAGATGAGGGTTAGAGAATACAATGTAGATGCACCACCAATGAAAACAATTTGAAAGCATTCCAAGATGCCCGTGCGTGAAGCTTTTCGAGTATTTAAGCTCGAACATAATTGAAAATAAATTCACACAAAATCAAAGCAAGCTGCATCATGGCATGTACATGTAAGTTGTAACCAATTCAGTCACAAGTTCAATCAAAAATGGCAGCTCACAAGTAACGGAGGATCAACAGCAACAAAAGATTTCCTCCAGTCACAGTTCATTTGAATATTTTGCCATATTTGAGATTTGGATGTCTTGCAATTCGGGCAATTCACAATGCAGTGCGCCACCAAGAGTTTGCCATGGAGAGTCCATTTTTCTAGTTTACGGTCGACAAAACATGGCCCATTTGAATGAGTGTCAGTAGACAACTTGAGCTAATTTGTTATAGATTAGGGCATAGCGTTCTGCCGCCTCACAAAAAACACCACATTGATAAAAAGAAAACAAAAGGGCAAACATACTCGAAGCATACCTTTACGAAACTACTGACTGGAAAAACGAACAATTTCAAATGTCCCGCGCTGTGAATTTGTCTCCCATCTCCCACAATGCACTGGGAAAAATGAACTCTTCGTGGCAAACTCTTGGTGGCACACTGCATTGTGAATCGCCCGAATTGATTTGATCACAACTCTTAACAAAATGTGCAAGCCAAGGAAGTACCATAAACAAGCAACAAAACTGCCAGACATTAAGAAGACGCATGCGAGACAAAGTGACCAGTTGCTACATGTACCATAGACGGGCATAGGACCATCCCAAATATACCAAATACTCAAATATTCTATCATCAACTGAATAAACGAATAGTTTTTGCCGCTTTGAACATTCAAAAACCAAAAAACTACGCACATACATGTACACACACAACTGTGATGTTATTTTTTTTTGGAAAGTTGCGACGCTTTATTGTCAGATGTTACTGTTTTTTTGGCGATGGTGGTTCACTATTCCCATCCTTTTAGCTGGTTAACTCCTTCAGTGCCAAAGTCGTACATGTACAAGGTATATTTGTTAGTTCGAAATTGCCAACCTCGTACATGTACAAGGTAATGTTTGTACTTAAAATCGCCAAACCTCGTACATGTACGAGGTAGAGTAAGCATGTTATCACAAGGGGGCGCTCTCGCTCTTTCTAATAATATCATTTTTATTCAGGTACGACCTGTATTTATTTGTTTCATTCGAGTTCTTGCGAGAGGGCGCAGCACTGACACTCATATTTTCTGCAAAAAGTGCAGAATTCCCTTGTGTGCAGGACAGTGCATGTTTCAGGGTGTATCACTATGTACGTGACTGCTCTTGACTTTCCAATGTACCAAGGATATACCAGAGAGCAACAACAACAAATTTAGTGAGTGAAACTTATTTAATTTTTTTTTACAGAATTTTGAACAATTAAAAAAACGCTCGAAGTTGGGCACTTTAGGGTTAAACTTTTCAAATTTTGCAGGCACTGAAAGAGTTAAGGCCCTTGACAGTTATAAAATACTGACTTCAAAACACTCCAGCGCCCCATAGCAAATTTTAACTGTCACGCCCCGCGTGCATCGTTTCATTGGCACGGCACAGAGTTTCAGCTGCCAGTTTCGAATATCCGAATATTCGGTCCAATGCAGTTTGGAGTAATCGAATGCTAAATTATTCGAAAATGGACAGCCCTAGCCGAGCAAAATATGAACCATGCTCCACTGTGCTCTGCGTACATGCAAATAATCTAAGCCGTTCATGGCAGGAGGGTTGGTGATTGGTCTGTGTCTGTCTGTTAGTCTGACTGTCTCCCTGTCAATCCTTTGCTAAAACTGTGATTTCAGAATTACAATTAGGACTTAAAACTAGACTTGAAATAGACCTGTAAGATTACAGTATGTACATGTTGTACCACGGCTGCCCAGCTATGGGGGACGGGGGTGAAATGGCGATTGATCTATAGGAATGAAATGCTGTCAGATAAATACATGTGCAGTTCTTTTTTACAAAGTCCTGAAGACACGATTTCATCAAGTCCACAATACTTTGGTTTTTTACTTTTCTTCGGGTTTGTGGGTTACATTTTCCATCTTTTTTGTTTGTTTGGGGGGGGGGGGGGGGTTTGGAAAAGACCTACCGGTAATTTGACTCCTTTATCAACTGACAGGAATATCTGTTTCTTATTTTCAAATCCAAGCTAATTTGCCAACACTTTGGGACCAACCATAGAGCTATATCAAATTACTAGAGCGCTAACTCGATGTACAAAGTAATGCCTGATGGGCGCATCCATGTTTGTGCACAAACCTATGGAAAACTCGAAATTTTGTACGGCTTTTGTACAGCTATTTGCATATCTGCATTTGTATTCCATACCGGTGCGTCATTGAAGCCGATACGCCCAAAACCGAAACGCACGATCAACAAATGAGCGTTTCATTTTTGCTCTACGCAAACAGCGCAACGTGTGCGCGTCCCTCCGCTGCAGATGCTTTTCGCCGTGACGTTTTTTGAACCGTCATGACGCACTTAAGTTGTTTGCGTATCTTCTACTTGCGCGTTGCATTTAGAGTACACTTTTAAAATTCAATCCATCTATTTTGATTGTGTGCTACAAACACGCACATAAATTCAACATGTCTGCGCCCAGAGCGGCTTCACAGCATCTCCGTGCGTAAAAATGAGGAGTTAGCACTCTAGGCCCAATTTCATGGCGCTGCTAAGCACAAAAATTTGCTTAGCACAAAAAAGGTCTGGCTTATAAAAGCAGGTTACCAGCCAAAACTCCACTTGATGTACATTGCTCGTGATTAGTATTCAGCTGTTGTTTGCTTAGCATGAAAATCACATGGAGTTTTGGCTGGTAACCTGCTTTTATAAGCCAGACTTTTTTTGTGCTTAGCAATTTTTTTGTGCTTAGCAGCGCCGTGAAATTGGGCCCTAGTAATTTAATACAGCTCTATGGGACCAACCTTCAGGTTTGGGCGTGTCCGGGCAGACCGGAGTGACCACCCTATACCCTGTGGATGACCGGTTCTTCATGGTGTCCCACACGTACGTAGGCCTGTGGGTCTCTGGATGGACGGCCACCTCCCCGGCATATTCATCCTCAATGTCCTCATCTCGAGGCTTGGCAGACATGCTGCGACTTCCTGTAGCACGGAGGAAGCGTCTGTGGACAAGGAGATATCAAATCAAGTCAAATCAAAACACAAACTAGTGCTTTGGCATTTGTTTTCCACATGCAAGATGATCGGGCACAGAAATATTTTGTGTGTATTATTAAGTGAATAACTCACTGTAAAATAGTTCATTGAGTATGGACCATTTGATTACTAAGTATGAACATGATTGTTCAATTCATTCATTAATTATAAATTTAAAATATTGTCATTTCTTAACTAAAATCACTTGATATCCTATATCCTATAATTTGATATCCTATGCAGTGTTGGAGGTCTTGACCAAAGTCTTGGTCTCGAGACTAGTCTCGAGACCATTTTTTCAGGTCTCGACGATTTTGAGGTCTCGGAATGTTGTGGTCTCGGTCTCGACTCCAAATGTCCCTGTCTCGGACAAGGGTCTTGGATCAAGACCTTGACGAGACCCGTTAAATATTCCAGAGTGTTTGAAGACAACTATTCGATTAACCGCTTATGGAGTCGACACTGTACCGGTATCACCAGGGCAAATCTATGATAACGCATAGTGCATGTCAAAAGAATTTCCGCAGGGAGAGAATGCTTATCGCTAGCATATCGCCGCTCAGTTAGTAGCATGGACTGTTTGTCAAAATCCGTTAACAAACAGACGAGTTCAGCCTTCATCAGGCACGTGAGCCGTGTCCACAAAGTAAAATACGTACCTACCGCCTTATGTAAACCATTTATTAGGCCTAATAATATTACCCCCAAAATAATTGAACCAACATTTCCGTCAATTTGAACTAACGTTAAACAAGGGAAAACCTTACAGATGTAGGGCCAGGATGATGTATGTTGCACCGTGTGTTGCTGGGCTGAGGGCCAAGTTCGCCATGTTGAACTTTTTTCTTACGTGTTGTTTGACAATTTACCAGTTCAGTTACATGTATGTTGAAGTTGATGAAACAAAGTGTAATTGCTGCGACTAATAATAGTTATTTTCATGTTAAAAAGTAATCAAATTATCAGCAAGCTTTGACTTGAGCAGGATTGAAGCTGAGTGATAGTACAGGTTTTTTTCGGTCCTCAAAGTTTTAATGGAACTTGGGCGCCGCCATCTTGGATTGAGTGCGCCCTAACACGTTATTTATTTATTTAATTTTTTTCTCAAAAATAATTTAAATGTCCACCAGTTGTCCACCCAAGTTTGCTTAGATTGTTTTCATACTGACTGGTTAATTTGAATGGATAATGGGAACATTTTTGGAAACAAGTAATTTTTTATTTCTATTTATTTTTTCTCCAGAAAATTATTTCAATTTAATATGTTTCATGTTAATATGAGTTTCCTTACTGCAAATAACTATAACTTTTTTAATTGACTCATTTGCAGATACAATGAATACATACAAAACAAGACTCAGGCAGACAGTCAGCAGCATACCATCACCAGTTTTATTACACCCGGTGCACATACATGTAGCAGCAGTTTGTTTTTTTAAATGAGGTCTCGGTCTCGGTCTCGGTCTCGGACTTTGAGGTCTCGGTCTCGGTCTCGGATGGGGAAGTCTCGGTCTCAGTCTCGGACTATGAGGTCTCGGTCTCGGTCTCCAATGGGGAAGTCTCGGTCTTGGTCTCGGTCTCGGACTATGAGGTCTTGACTCCAACACTGATGCTATGATGTCATCATGACGTCACTATTTTATGCACATCAGAGTCTATGTTCATACCAAGTTTCAAGTTTAGACACATTGTTCAGTTTGAACCAAAAGCTGAGACTTATAGGCCTAATAGTAATGACAATAATAATAATATTAAGTGGGTATTTATAAAGCGCACGTATCCACCAGGACTGGTGCTCAAGGCGCTGCATCATTATTACCCCTGCTCATTGGGCCCATGAAACATTCCTAACACTGTATTTCAGCTCCCTGGGGAGTATACAACTTGATACTACCATTTCAGTGCAAAGCAGCTAAATCAACCACACTAAACCATCTCTGCCCTCACAGGTACCCATTTACTCCTGGGTGGGAAGAAGCAATGAGTAACAAAGTGACTTGCCCAAGGGCACACGCACCACGACCTCAGGCTGGACTCGAACCCACAACCTGCAGCTTTACCCGCAGACCATGAGTCCAATGCCCTTAACCACGAGGCCACAGCACTCCAGAAGAGAAAAAAAACACAGAAAGCAAAGAAAGAAGAACCATTACAAAAGTACATGTACTGAGTGATCACTTAATTGTGACATTTGTTTAACTAGGAAACCTTTCTGAAGCCTTAAAATGTCACCACATTTGGAATCCAAATTTGCAAAATCTCCCAAATCAAATTCTTTGAGGACTTATCACTATTTCAAATTCCGCCATGCTTCACTGTTATGCTTGGGGCATACAGCACAAAAGTCATATAAATTGTTTTTCACTCCCAGATGTCCCCTGAAAACATTCCCACTGAAATTCTTCAAAATTAAGTTTAAAACACTCTAAAAGCATGTACGTACACGCATTCAGACTCACATTATTTAGATACTATTGAATTATTTCAGTAGTGCTACAGCATCACAGTAAATTATTGGAAAGGTATGTTTAAAAAAAAAAGGAAATTTTTTGTCACGGAAGTGCATTTATGGCGAAAGGGAAGAATGACTGGTACAAATAAACAGTGATCTCAGAATGTACCGGTACCGTACATGTCTAAACAAATGTCATATCAAATATGTTCAATATTAGCTACAAGGCATCATATCCACATAATTTTTTTGTAAATATTTGGTCATTCAAATTTTTTTCGAATCATTTATTTTGATCATGTGACCATATTTTACTTTGTCGTTTGTTGCATATACATGTAATGTGCATGTATACATGTATGTATCAAATGGCTTAAACCTAAAGACTACTCAAAGAAAATACATGCACCTTTAAGGAAATTAAAAGTCCCTAGATGGACATGATTGAATATTTTACAGGCAGTAATTTGAGAACTTTTACTGTCAAAGAAAATCAATCTCATGTTTATACAATTTGTTTAACTGTGACAATGAAGATACCGGTAGTTTTAATTGTACAGCAAGATAAATATAAAAAAGGGAAAATTGTGTGTTAGTATTAAGTACTGTACCGTATGTTGTCATACGACAATTTTACATGTAGTTTAGATTCCATCCAATTACATGTACAAATTATTTTACCTGTTTAAATAGAAACTCTCCAAGCTACCTGCAGTTTAATTTAGCACTTGTGAACACTTTGTAAATTGACATTTTATTAGGACACTGACTAACATGATTAAATGCTTTAGTTTTAAAATCAATCGGTCGGAAACGTCAGACCTGAATCCTTCGCAGTCTATTTATCGGTCAAATTGACTCACGAGTCAAATTTTTAATTACTCGGTGCCCATACTGACATGCAATACCGTCCTAGAGTTATCATATGTGCATCCCTGCGTATACACTATCAACTTCACAAAACTCCGAGAGAAAGAGAATTGGGACACGCTTTTCCCCTCGGGGCAATGTGTTTATTTCTTCTTCGTTTTTTTTTTCTTTTTTTTTTTTCCAAGGACCTCTAGAAATCAGCTGAGACCAGCTGATGCAGCGCGCGAATCGGAGCACGGCAACACGAGACCGTTGCATTCAGTACAGAGGAGGCTGCACATTGCAAACCGGACAAGTAGTGGCTAGAAATTCCCCAGGGCCCAGCTATGTGTACATAATATGCAGTCTAGTGAGGACTGCCTCACCAGGTCAGTCGGTGCTGTGCGATATGTCAGTTAAACTCACGTGCGTTGTGTATGAAAGTATCGATCTATCAATATATATTATACCGGTACATGCGACAGAAATAAAGAGATAGGAATAATGATAATATCATGGACAAGTGTAGATGTTAATGGAGTTATTTACTTAAGGCTAGCTACTCAAAGTACGTATGACAGGAGTAATGCCCAGCTATATTTTGGGGGTTCTTACTTGTACAAACAGAGCAGATTAAGTTTTATGCCTTGTCATATTTAATGAGCTACATGTACATGCGTACTGCATTATTACTGCATTGGCAACAGCAGAATTTATACATGATACGGAAAGATTTCCATGTATACAAAGTTCACTCAACACCCTGTGTACAAACCCTATGAGATTGGACTGAAAAATTCTAAGTGTGTTCTAAGAAAATGCTTGTATTTTCTCACTGCTCAAATTGACTTTGATGACATGAAATTGTTATCTGGGGGCTTGTTAGTCAATACAGAGGGAAATTAGTGAACTTCATATATATGGAAATCTTTCCCATGATACATGTAGCTTTAAGCGATCATTATATTATTTTACTATTTGTAAATTTGTAAAAGGATGCTTTAAAATACATATTTGTTTTATTTATTACTGATAAGAATGTAGGATGTAAGAGCAAAATCAATCACCCACATTTTACACAAATGCAATGAATTTTGCAATCACGTAGGCCTACATGTACGCACACATTTATCACAAAAGAATGAAGACACCTTTGTCATTTTTTAAAGCTCAAAATTTGATGCTTTGCAAAAACCTGATAACGTCTGACAAACAACAACTCCACACCTAAGATAGCTGTGTATCTGACTCATGAAAGTAACCGTGCTGAAAGCCACATTGAAAGTAACCATCCAATGCACACGGCTTGCAATGCATCAATTAATCAAAGAAAACTTTTTCCTAATGCAGCTTTCATTAACAACATGTTCATCAGCACCAAAAACTTGACATCTACTAAACACAACTACATCAAACTGAACGATCCTGCCAACTTCAACCTGAGTAATTTCCATAGAGCTACATGTATATCAAATTACTAGAGCGCTAACTCCTCATTCTTGCACGCGGAGACGCTTTGAAGCCGTCCTGGGCGCAGACATTTTGAATTCATGTGCGTGTTTGTAGAACACAATGAAATTAGATGGATTGAATTTCAACGCGCAAGTAGAACACACGCAAACAGCTTAAACTCGTCATGACAGTAAAAAAAAACGTCACAGCAAAACGCATCTGCAGCGAATACGCGCACGCGTTGCGCTGTTTGCGTAGAGCAAAATGAAACGCTCATTTGCTGATCGTGCGTTTCGGTTTTGGGCGCATCGGCTTCAATGACGCACCGGTATGGAATACAAACGCAGATATGCAAATAGCCGTACAAAAGCCGTACAAAATTTCGAGTTATCCATAGGTTTGTGTACAAACATGGATGCGCCCATCAGGCATATCGAGTTAGCACTCTAGTAATTTAATATAGCTCTATGTAATTTCATATTTAATAATCATAACATACTATACAAAAATGTACATGTTCTCACTCAAACTTTTGAACCATTTATTCTCTTTTTATTCACTCTGCTTATACATGTACACGGGACCCTAGCTCATTAATATAGTGATCTTTTTGTGAGACAACTAGTCCATTTCAGTGTGGTATTGCACACAGTGGAACAGACTCAGCACTCCATTCAAATGTTGCACTAGTACTGTGGCTTCATTCGCTAAAGAATTGAATGAACTGTCAAATTCCTATGCCCTAAAATTTAAAGTAAGTAATTCATTGATTAGTACTCAGTCTTATTTCGCTTCTTTTCTTCAGGTTGACATACTACAAAAAAATATTTTTAAAAAAAGTTCAAGAGAAACACGTAGCATTGGAACTCTTTCATATATTCCTGCAATAAGAATATCAGCTTCAACCACAATGCTCATTTAATTAATCAGGCTTTTAATCCCTAAATTTTGCCCCCCCCCCCCCAACATTGCTAATCCAAAGAAAACACACTGATCCCACACATCCAGTCGTAATCATTTATGCAGCACCTCTAGCTTTGCATGATGATGTACATGTATGTACATGTATGTGTACCGGCTGATTGACTTTCACGGTGTCAGGGTAAGATCAAGGCAAAGCTATCTGTAATCTATGGTCCAAGGACAAGTGTATGGAGCACCAAAGGTGCCTTCATCAATAGTTCATATCACTCCATTCGTCAGACTCATCATTCCATTTGGTAAACTCATCGTTCCATACGGCAAACTCATTCCATTCGATGAATTCATCACTTTTTGTGGCGAAATCATTATTTCATTTGGCAATTTTATCACTCCGTGCTGTGAATTTGCCATATCATTTGGCAAAATCAGTACGTCATTTGGCAAAATCGTCATTTCATTCTGCCAAATGACCATGTTCTTTCGGCAAGTTCACTATTTCATTCACAAATTCCCCATTTCATTCGGCAAATTCATCAGGATGAAATCGCCAAATGAAAGGATGAAATTGCCAAATGAAAAGGTGTACAGTACAACTTTGCAGAATGCAAATTTATGAATTAACAGAATGAGGCGATAAAATTGACTATTTAGAATGATAAAATTGCCGAATAGAAAGGTGAATTTGCAGAACGAAATCTGAATTTGAAAAAAAATGAAGAATTCAAAGAAAAACATGATGCAATTGCCAAATGGAATGATGAATTTGCCGAATGGAATGATCAATCTGACAAATCAAATGCTATGAACTATCAAAGGCAGTTCTGGCGTTCCATACAATGCACAAGTGCGGTTCCGCAACATGAATCTACATGGTATGTAACAGACTACAGCACAAACTACACTGACATACATATTTAATATGGCAGACACGAACTACAAGCAAGAAGTCTTGTACTGTATTAAATGCAATATAGATATGCGCCATTAATTGAAGTTGATGCTGAATTTATTTTTATGAACAATGCACATGTAAATCATATTTCAAGAACAAATTGGCCTATATTAGTTATCCCGCGAGCGCCAGTGGAACAAGGAATAATGTAGTGCGCTGTGTCCCACATACAATGTACATTGTACCACTACATTTTCCGTGTTCCACGAGCGCGAGCGTGATAACAAATTTATCTTCAAAGGGGCACTACCCGGTAGGTCCTGAAATCCCCGAAAATGTTATGCTTTGGATTGTTTACTTAGCCTATTTCAAACATCTGGTTGAAAGGAAACCAACCTAATGTCTTACCATTCCCGAGAAAAGACGAAAAAAACCAGCTTGTTTACATCGAACATGACGGAGTACGAATATGTTTTGCGTGTCATTCTCATGTACGCTATACACGTTGTGTGTCTCGGGAACAGTGCGCGGTGACCAATCACCAATGCAAAAAATTGTAGTTTCTTCAACGTCCGCAAAAGGCGAACACTTTACGCGTACGAATGAAATCACAACTAGCATCCAAACAGCTCGAATTTACGGGGTCGCAAAAGTGGACCCCGAAATTCGTTCTCGTACGCATAATACAGGAATAACACAAAAACGCCCAGTTTTGAAAGGATAGTTGTGTGGATGTTTTTACATCCTACTTTTAAAAGTTATTTCCAATTATCAACATCTCGCTCAAAGCGCGTTTTGTAGACCGATTGTGCTGTTCCAGGACCTAGTGTCCCTTTAAGCAAACTTGACGCGCAGTAAAGTTGGACCATCGCTTTAAGCCCAGTTCATACTTCACGCGAAAGCAAGTGCGAAACGAAATTCATGTCGTCAACAATGGTGGACGCGCTTCAAACGCAACGGCTTTACACGAACCTTTTAGCGGTTTAGCGCATGCAGCTGGAATGTCGCTCGCATCTTGGAATAGCGCATTACGCAGGGTGCAATGTAGACCGTGCAATACAGCCTTATATCACACTGTTGTTACCATGGATCGACCAATCAGGATCGAGGATACAAGTTTGCTTGAAGATAAATATACATGTACAGTGCAAGCCTAACTTTAGATCAATTAATACAAGGATCACCTTAAAGGGGCACTATTTCCTGAAATCCCTGAAAATTTCATGTTTTGCATCATTTACTTATCCTATTTCAAACATCTGGTTTGAAGGACACCAACCTAATGTCATACCGTTACCGAGAAAAGACGAAAAAACTTCGGTTGTTTACATCGGACACGACGGAGTACGAATGCGCTTTTCCTGTCGTTTTCACTTTCAGTCAATGTACATACGATATGTATACATAGGCCTACACAGCACCGTGCTTGCGAACAGCATGCGGTGACCAATCACCAACGCACAAAATATGGTTTCTTACACATCTGCAAAAGGCGAATCACTTTACAGATGAAATCACAACTAACAGCTCGAATTTTTGGGATCGCAAAAGTAGACCCCAAAATTCGTTCACGCACGCATAATACAGGAATAACACAAAAACGCCCGGTTTTGAAAGGATAGATGTGTGGATATTTATATCCTACTTTTAAATGTTCTGTCAGATTTACATCATTTCGTTTTGGCAAAGCGCATTTTGTAGCCCAATTGGGCTGTTCTAGGACCCAGTGTCCCTTTAAGAACTTGGAGCATTCTAAACCAACTAGAATATGGAGGGTTAGTATGGACGGTTAGTAATCATGGGAACTGGTGGCCTGAGTTTGATAAGTCCCTAGGCCAAAAAAAAAAAGTCTTCGGTTTCTGGTATGGAGCTTGCCCCAAAAGTGGTGCAAATGTTGGCTGATGACTGCAAATGGTGCCCGACTAAATTTACTGCAAAATGTATGGGAGCCAAGAGAGGCCACATAAAGATTATACTTGATCGTAATCCCATCATAAAACATGTTAAAATTGTGCAGCAGCAGGATTCCAAACAAACCAGTGAGTTTGGCAGTTTTGAGATATCATCTTACATTAAAAAAAAAAACCTTTTCATTTTGCCGATGCGCATGGCTAGGACGATGCGCACGCATACCAGAAACCGGAGACTTTATTTTTTGGGCCTTAACCATGTTAACCAGCATTTGGGGGAAAACGCATTGAATCAGTAATAATGCTTGCCCTACAGGGAGAAGAAATTTTGTATCATTGAAAATCCTTTCAGGGATGAAAAGCTGGAGTACATATTTCTGGCACCAATATGTTATCTACAAAAAAAGGTGCCTAATCCTTTATCTTTTGCCTATTTCACGCACATGGATACATGTTCAAAAGTGCCATTTAGTTACTAGACCATGCGTGAAATTGAGGCTATTTAAAATATTGATGAGATCGCATTATCAGAAGGTCTTCCTTCATTGTTTTATTTCACTTGGTTCAGTTTCATAAATAATTCTTATTGTTTACAGGACACAATGAGGCAATTCAATATCCATTTATAACTTTGAAATTTACATTTATTTCAAAAATTGTAACTTTCACCCTGACTTTTGCAGGCACTGCATAAAATATCTGGAACATACATGGTTTCCAAACTTGTCTAAACAACATTTCTATCGAACACTCTGAAGTAAAAAAAAATTACAAGGAAAGTCATTGTCTGAAATGACTTTCAGGTTTTTGTTGTTGTTTTTTTAATGATGAGTTCTTACCTGAAAGACATGGCTGTGGTGAATGGGGAGCATCAGCCTGATCACTGTCCAAACAATCCCCTGCAAAGTGGACAGAAAATTCAATATGACCCAAAAAACTTCTACTGTAAAATGCAAAGACCATGGCTGCCTAATCAATATGACCCAAAAAACTTCTACTGTAAAATGCAAAGACCATGGCTGCCTAATCTATCGCTAGGATTTCCTGATGTGACATGCAGAATGTCATCATTTGGCCACTGTAGCTACATATATTAACACTGCTGCACCAACCCAGTGATAAAAAAAGTGAATATCAGGATATCCTGACCCGGTAAGGCAAAGCAAAGTTATTTTTCATCTGGACTTTTGAAAAAAGGGAAGAGGTGGCCTTTTTTTCCCCCAAAAACAAAAGGAAAAGAACAAGGGAGGGGGCCGCAGAAGAAGGAAGTACGGTAGGCAGGGACGAGGAACTGGTATATTTTGCTTTATTTGTAACCTTTAAAATCCTTACTGCAGGATACTACATTCTCTTCCAATACTATACCACACAATACCAACACCTTTATTATACAGACGTACCGTGTATTTACCTAGAAATCAATGTTGGCCAGTAACCGCACCACCGGTATGCTACAACTGGGTTGTTATAAATGATAACTTTTTTTTAGGGAAATGAAAAATTCTGATTTTTAAACTTTAAATCAGATTAGTCTTAAAAAAGTGATCTTTTTTATTTCAATAACTTTATCTTTATTTTACCAGTTAAAATAAAAAAAAAAGTTTTGTCCATTAAATTATGATGCAAATTAAGTAATTCATCTAACATCTGGTAAAGTCAGTGTATTCTGCACTGTTTTGTTCACCTCTGAAACTCCTACAGTAGGCCTACAGTTTTCATTTTTCTACATAAGATTATCTACTTTCAAAAATAAATGTACATATTGTACATATTGATCATTACGTGCAGCTTCACAATACATATGGGTTACTCCATGAAGTTCGGGCAAAAAGTGTGACATTGGGTCAAAGTTCCCAAATGTTGATCTGAATATTGTTTTTTATAGCTCAACTACTATATTTTTAGGAAATAGTATGCTTTTTACCCAAAACATAAAACTGAATTTGTGGTTGATTTTTATATTCATGATGGGAAATTCAAAATACCTATGCTACATGGACACCAAATCTAAACAATTGCTCTGAACATTTTTGAATGGGTTAGGTTATTTGTCAGTTTTCTTGTTGTTTAAGATTAACTTTTAGGGTATAATCAAAGGGGAAACAAATGGTTCAGCAGATGCTCAAAATAAGTTGATACAACCCATTGTAAATTGAGGCTTTTTGTGTAATTTTGACTAAATTGTGCTTGTTTGGAAAAAGTAACCAAATCAGCTAGAAGAGATCTAAAATAGCATTTATGAGTAAAAGTTTGACTTAAATGACACAGTCAGTGAACCACCTTTCTAAAATGATGTTCAAAATGTATGCCTTTGCTCATCGTGCTGAGAAATATGGCTGACAATGTGTCAATTTTACCTATGCTACATGGACACCGTGTCCTGTAAATAGGTAGAAAACAGCACAATTTATCCAGTAATTAACTGAAAATTAAGCAAAAAATGGCTGAATCATGTTTTATGGCAGTGGACATGCAAACCGAATACAGAAGCTGAATTTTGGATACATAATTTGGATGTACGTATGAATTATAGAGTGTGGAACAATACCTATGCTACATGGACACCGTGTCCTATTTATCAATTTTCACTTTAGAGGAGCAAACCCTTATGTAAAATAGAGTTCATCTGTATCTGATTGTTATTAATTTATTGTAATTAACCACTTTCTTGGTTCTAACATTAAAAAAATAATTTGTCTACAATCATAGCTTCACAACTAAAGGAATACTCTCTTACCTATGCTACATTTTCTACCTATGCTACATTTGGACACCACGCTATATTTTGGAACATAAATCTTAATTGCTGAAGAACAATTTTCCAAAGCATGTTTTATTTTGAATATCCATCCAATTACTATTTACCAAAGGTTAAGATGTGTCAATATGTGTGGAGTTATTTCTGCTTGAGGGGTTTCTTTAGTTTGAAAATACCTATGCTACATGGACACCATTTCAAAAAATGATACTTTTTCTTCTTGCATATTACAATGTATAAACAGCAGCAAGTTTGGAGAATTCAACTTTTTAAAAACTCAACTTGGAGTGAGTTGAACATATTAAAATCAAAATCTTTCAGATACAGTGTGCTGTATGGAGATAGCAAGCCTTAGTACCTACCGGTATGCTACAGGACACAAAAAGTGCGGACACCAAATGTTTCACATGCATGTAATATCAACACGAGCAGCTTTTGTACAATTTTATGCATAGATACATGTATGGGTGAATATGACTTTAATCTAATAGTAAATTACTTAAAAGGATTGATCAGTTGGCATTTTTGCAACAAAACACAAAAAACAACAACACATGTTTCTGTTAATTTAAATGTCACACTTTTTACTGACATTTTTAGTGGGTTTTGCACACATATTGCCCAATAAAAATTATTTGAGGGCAGATACAGTCCTAGTTTGATTTTATTTTTAAAAGTAACATCACATCCTTTGAGGAAAATGTTACTTTGAAGGATTTGAAAGACTAAAGTTTTTACAAATTGATAACAAACAGAGTAATTTCAGCATTATCAGCTATTATTCCAACTTCATGGAGTAACCCATACATGTACCGGTATGTGAGGGATTTGATCTGGTAATGAAATCATTGAACTGAGCATGAGTTACAGACACACTATGGAAGCCAAGTGTCTTCATCTGTTGAAATGTTTATTTTTGTGCAAATTAAAAGATTGCTGATTGTATGTTTACAAGTATGACTTCTTCGAAATTAACGATTTACTGTATGTGGTTTTTCATAGGTTTCACCATGCTATTTTCTGTCAACAGAAAAGTTATTCACTTTATAATGAGCCATTCATCAGAAAATATCAGGCCAAGTGCAGTTGGGGAATTTTGAATTGTCTTCAAGCAAACTTGAATTCTATGCCTGATTGATTGAAAAAGCAGGATTGACTGGCTCTGACTACTTATATCTTTATACAGCTGCGTGCCTTGACTGTAGGTGTTTGATAAGCCAGCTGTGTATGACTTGACTGCTTTTGTCTGTCAACTGTAGGCTACTATTAGCTGTACAATTCCCCCCCCCTCCCCGGTGAAATGGTCAAAATAACCTGGCTCTTTCAGGGTTAGCCATGATTAAAATTGTTTGTTTTACCGTTTTGGATTTCCTCAACAACAAAAACAGTAAACGAACCATTGACTGTTATGTCGTTTTACAGTTTTGTAAAATGGTCAAACGGTTTTCAGATAAATACGGTTATTCCGATATCAGTTTAGTAAAATTCATTACAGCATAACGATCAATGATTTTTGTTTTACAGTTTTGCACAAATAACTTTGAAAAACAGTAAAACGATACAGACTGTTTTTTAAATTCAGTGTCATAGTTAGGGCCTAAGTCCGTAGTGCATTTTGTGGCGGTTGGCAAGGGGGGTGGAGGGGGACCATGCCGCGCACGAAGAAGCGTTACCTCGTCATAATTAAAGTGCGGTGTGATTCCTGGCTTGACCCTGACCCCCATCTACACTGCGATTCAGTCGGTGCCGTAACAGGGCTAAAGAGTTGCGAGCAAAAATGGCGCTGGAAAATTTCATGGATCAAATTTCACAATGGATACAGGATGGTAAGACGTATAAAGAAGTTGCAGATATTTTTAAGGAAATTGGAGTTCGGCGTGGCTCTTCAATGGCCAATATTCGCAAATTTTGTCATGAGAACGACAAAAATGTAAAAAGGGCAATTTGGGTCCCACGCATTGACTCGATCCCAAGGCCAGGACACATTAACATTCCAAGGTGCATTGCTTAATTGCCGAACCCAAAATGATCGACAAGACCTATTTGCTCTTTTCACACTCCGCCAAGGGGCATGCAGAGCCTCGATCTGGCAACTTTACACAATAAAAATTTAACCCCGACACGGGAATCACTGAACGGGCAATATTTATTGGGCAGTGGATATTTTGCCGGAGACGGCAAACCTTTAGTAAACGTTAGTTTGCCGGATATGCATTGAACATGTGCAGTTACTGTTTTTTTGTACCTTAACATTTTCTGGTGACAAATTTTAGTCTGGCTCCATGCCAATATTATCGTTGTAACCTCGTATTCACAAGATGGGATTCAGACCATTTTATAATTTTGGACTTTATTTCCCTTTAAAAAAAATCCTCCAGAGCCACGAATCAGAAAAAGAAAATGTAATACTCTGCAATAAAATGTTTTGAGACATGTTAAAATAATAAAAGAAGAATACTCTTATTTATTTGGGGATGGGGATGGGGAAATTTAAAATGTGGCAGGAAGGGATCGAACCCGAGTCATCCCGCTCACTAAAGCCTTTGCTTAACCACTACACCAAACGTGCTACACAACTTTTGGTGGGAATTTAAAATATATAATTCAGCCCTATCTTAAAGAGTACAGCGCCCTCTGTTGATATGGATTGCCACCAGCAAACCTTTAGTAAACGTTAGTTTGCCGTCATTACCTCCAGCAAAATATCCACTATCTATTTATTGTGTAAAGTTGCCAGATCGAGGCTCTGCATGCCCATGACGGAAGTGTGAAAAGAGCGAATTGACCGTTTTGTCATCGTCATGTTTTTGTCAAACAACACTCTAAAAATAGCAACTAGGTAATCGCTTATCGCTTTTTACAATTTAAAAAACAACAAAAAGGTAATTTTTCTGGTCACTAATTAATACCGTTTGACAAAACTGTAAAACGACAAAACAGTCAATGGTTCGTTTACTGTTTTTGTTTTTGAGGAAATCCAAAACGGTAAAACGAAATACGATTCCCTATTAATCCCGGGACATACCGTTATTTCATTTTACCATTTTGGATTTCCTCAAAAACAAAAACAGTAAACGAGCCATTGACCGTTTTGTCGTTTTACAGTTTTGTAAAACGGTCAAACGGTATTAAGTCACAAAAAGCAATTACCTTTTTATTGTTTTTGTAAATTGTAAAAAGCGATAAACGGTTAGTTGCTTTATTTTTAGAGTGTTGTTTTACAAAATCTCAGAAAGTTGACTGGATATCGCCGCTATGCACCATCATCCAGTTTGACTTGACGCCGGTGTTGTGCAAGCGTGACAAAAACATGACAATGTCAAAACGGTCAATAGTCTTGTCGACCATTTTTTTTTTAGTCAGGTTTAAGATGGCAATTATAGCAATGCACCTTGGAATGTTAATGTGTCCTTGGGACGGTGACTGCCTGTGAAATTGCCCACCTTACATTTATGTCGTTCTAGTTCTCACGACAGAATTTGAGAATATTGGCTATTGAAGAGCCGCGCTGGACTCCAATTTCCTTCAACATATCTGCAACTTCTTCATACGTCTTACCATTCTGTATCCATTGTGAAATGTCCCCCTTGAAATTTTCCAGCGCCATTTTTGCTTGCAACTCTTCAAGCCGGCCCCACCAACTGAATCACAGTAGATGGGGTCAGGGTCACGCCAGGAATCACACCACGCACGAGTTATGCCGAGGTAACACTTCTTCGTGCACGGCATGGTCCCCTTCCACCCCCGGCCGGCCTTGCCCACCATAAGTACCGCCACAAAATGCACTACGGACTGTTAACTATGACACCGAAGTAAAAGGAAAAACAGTCTGTATTGAATACTGACCGTTTTGCTGTTTTTCAAAGTTATTTGTGTAAAACTGTAAAACAAAAATCATTGATCGTTATGCTGTAGCTCTACTGAGTGGAGCGTTGAATTACGGGTACCCCTCCATACCAACGCTCCACCGATTCGCCATACTTTGGTAGCACCATCACAGTAGCATAGTCACAAACCCACGCGAGGACAAAAAGACCCCCAAAAAACGGTAAAGAGATTACAAATGAGAGAGACAGTTATCCTGGATTGATCTATACATTCTTGACATTCCATGAGACCCCTTATATTGTTCCCAAACAGCGAACATTTTGGAAAAAAACAGCAAAATAGTCTGAAAACTTACAGTTCAATGTGTTTGCATGGAGGCTCAGTTCTTGAATTAGCTTGTCAATGAGGGCGTCTGACGTGACGTCACCGTCGTTGCTCGATAGCGAAGAAAAACAAGGTGCGCTTTATCAACGACTGTTTCGTGTAATAATACGTGCTCCGATCCGCGCCGCGCCGTACGACAGTATGGGCTTTGAACACACCCAAGGAGCACGTATCGTTACACAAAACAGTCGTGGATAAAGCGCGACTTGTTTTTCTTCGCGATCGAGCAACGACGTTGACGTCACGTCAGACGCCCTCATTGACAAGCTAATTCAAGAACTGAGCCTCCATGCAAACACATTGAACTGTAAGTTTTCAGACTATTTTGCCGTTTTTTTCCAAAATGTTCGCTGTTTGGGAACAATATAAGGGGTCTCATGGAATGTCAAGAATGTATAGATCAATCCAGGATAACTGTCTCTCTCATTTGTAATCTCTTTACCGGTTTTTGGGGTCTTTTTGTCCTCGCGTGGGTTTGTGACTATGCTACTGTGACGGTGCTACCAAAGTATGGCGAATCGGTGGAGCGTTGGTATGGAGGGGTACCCGTAATTCAACGCTCCACTCGGTAGAGCTAGTTATGCTGTAATGAAAGTTATGAAACTGTAGCTGGAGTTACCCAGCCCTGAGTTTTATCATTGGGTTGTCTATTAGGGCTGGAGCGCATTTTTCTCAAAACTTGTAGTATTTGCAAAAAAAATTTGGAAAATGTTCAATTTTGTCCCCGTTACACACTAATTGCAACTGCAACTCACCCCAAACTTGCCTGGAATAACCATTACACAGGTCCTTGAAGTAAAAAACGATCCACGATGAAGATTCAGCCTACAATTGCAGTGAAAACAGGAGGAATAACCGCTAACTTGACAACCTTGCTGGATTGGCCAGGACCGCTATTGGTTTGTGCACAAAAAAATTGTGTACAATGAATGGCGGTCGATTAACAGGCACAGAGAGCGATCGCTGTCAACTACTCGTTTTGCCGGCTGTGCTGGCTGTTGGCGCATGACGTCACGCGGAAGCGTTACACCCGATGACTGTTTCATGCACTATTGGTTGCGGTTCCAGTACCAAAGCTGTGATGCGAGTGGTAAACCTTATACTAGTGCATGAAACAGTCATCGGGTGTTACGCTTCCGCGTGACGTCATGCGCCAACAGCCAGCGCAGCCGGCAAAAACGAGTAGTTGACAGCGATCGCTCTCTGTGCCTGTTAATCGACCGCCATTCATTGTACACAATTTTTTTTGTGCACAAACCAATAGCGGTCCTGGCCAATCCAGCAAGGTTGTCAAGTTAGCGGTTATTCCTCCTGTTTTCACTGCAATTGTAGGCTGAATCTTCATTGTGGATCGTTTTTTACTTCAAGGACCTGTGTAATGGTTATTCCAGGCAAGTTTGGGGTGAGTTGCAGTTGCAATTAGTGTGTAACGGGGACAAAATTGAACATTTTCCAAATTTTTTTTGCAAATACTACAAGTTTTGAGAAAAATGCGCTCCAGCCCTAATAGACAACCCAATGATAAAACTCAGGGCTGGGTAACTCCAGCTAATGAAACTGTAAAACGGAATAACTGTATTTATCTTAATACCGTTTGCCGTTTTACAAAACTGTAAAACGACAAACCGGTCATTGGTTCGTTTACTGTTTTTGTTTTTGAGGAAATACAAAACGGTAAAACGAAATAACGGTATGTCCCGGGATTATTGTAGGCCTAGGCTACCGGGATTCCCTATTGACGAATCCCCCTATTTTTATTGACAATGACACCCCACACATCGTTAGTAAAACTCCCGTAACAAATAGGTGATTCTACTCACTGATTTCCTCAAATTGTTGATCTCAGATGTTATTATCATTCATCGTGTCTTCCATCAGTCATTTCTGCAAAGCTCCTGTTTCTTTGAGCCTAATAAGTGTCGTTTTTCGGTGAGATAATGTGGGCGATTTGTCGGGAATTTACATCGGCACGACTGCAGTGCAGTATAAATTCTTGCTTTTATTTTTATGAGAGCGCCCTCCAGCGGTGAAAAGGTGACAGGCATTTTCGTTTGTCGGTCGATTTGTCTATGATTCATACAAAGTTCTCGTTTATATGGACACATTTTAATGTTCTAGCAAGAACGAAAATACCGGGAAAATATTTCCAAAAACGAGGCTATAGTTTCAAAAGGCGTTTTGGCCATTACGGCTAAACCCCTCAACTCCAAAAAATTAGCTGGGAATTTCTCCTATGTTTTAAAAGCGAACAAATGAATTAATCGAGCATAAAAAAAATCAACTGACTTAACGATAACAATCTGTTAGGTTCTGGCTCAAAAAAGTTATAATACCAACAACATCGCGATTTGTAATTTAACAAATTGTCGATTGCTCAGGGATCGAGGAGGAATTTCGAGGAAAGACATTGCAGAGAAAGAGTTTTCAATCTATTATAATTCAGACTCTTTTTTGCGTTTAGTGGTGATTGTTTTGTTCACAGAAAACTCGAGACAACGGGAATAGATAATAATACATGGAAGAAAAAGAACACACACAGGTGATAGTGTTCAAAGTTTTATTTTAGCATTCATTATTCAAGTCCGACACCAGTAATATTAAAAAATACAACGTGCGTATACTGTCAAAATAATCAAAAAACAACTTATCAATAAATCAGATTTTGTCTTCCCGTAGTAACACCTGACTTAGCGGGAATCGAACCTACGACATTAGCAAAACTGAGCAATGTGTCTAAATCTGGACAACTTGTCAAGTAGATAAACAATTTTTTTTAAATTACATGTCACCTTGATTCGGATTATTACCAATAATTTTAAAGTCCAACCACCGTAAATTCTTTTAATTTTAACCCAGCACCTAACTTCCTGTCATCCCTCAATCCTTTGATGATAAATTTACGCCTGAAAAACGAGTGGAATTTCAGGAAACAACTAAAGGGCGAAATTCACTATCGCAGAGAATGAACGGCTCCACAATAATGTTTCAATACCCTGAGAAAACATATAAATGTATTATATGACTGCTATGATTGAATGGGGCATACTACCAACATTGGAATTATTAATACATTGATTAAAGACAATCGTATTCATTAAATCACAAGATCTATTTTGGCGTCCAGAGGTTAATCAAGAAATTGACAAAGTAAAGACATGAAGGGAAGACACAGAAAATGACTTCACTGATTAACAGTCTAATGGATTTTGTTGTTGAAATAATGACCATAGTAGAAAGGCTTCCTCAAAACACTGCACAGAATACTGACAGCCAGTGATAATGAAGAAAGGTTTAGAATAAGGAAGACATTACAGTAGCCGTTGTCCAAACTTTGGCTTCACCTCCGGGTTCGGCCGCGTCGGTGATGTTCTGGAACAAACAAAGCATTTTTTGACAAAAAGGGTCCACTTTCAAAATCATAGGAGTTTGTTCCTGTCTACTAAAGAATGGAGCCACGTTGAACTGGCGTCTCCTAAGTCAGTGACCTGAAAAGAAATTATAAGCCGTAGCCCGTAATCCAAGCCGGAGATCGAGAGAAAGTCAAGTTTACGAAATGAAGTGTGATAGGCCTACTGCTTATTTTTTTCGAGTGCTTCGTTTCTTCCGCACTACACGAGCCACCTTAGCCTTGGGCATTTTGCAGACGTATCGAAGCTTGTGACCGCAATCCTGGTAGCCCCACTGCTTGTTGAGTGCATACGAGCACATCCCCGGCGAAGCTGCGTTGATTTCAGAAGCCCTGTAGCCAACCACGCCGCCATCCAGCCACAGGGTCCCAGCCACCCTCCCGATCCAGAACGGGCTGGTCGAGGAAGACTGAGCCACCAAGAAGTCGTCCTCCTCGGCTGAGGTGATGGAGACCAAGTTGGCTTGTTCCATGACGTCGTTACCGAAGAAGTAGGACCGGCATTTGTCTTTGGCCTCTCCCCAGGGAAGCCCCATCTTGGAGAAGTGGTAACAGGAGTCTCCAAACTCTTTCCAGGTCGGGAAACAGTATTTCTTTGCAGAAGTGCCTGCTGCCTCCGGTGCTCCTGCTGCTGCTGCTGATGATGATGACGAAGATGACGACGATGAAGAAAACGAGAATGACGGCTGCACTACACGTGACCCCTGCCCACCCGGTACAGCTACACTAGACGTCTTGTACTTCTCCGTCTTCTTAAACTCGCAAACGAATCTCAGCTTCCCTGAACAGTCCTTGTGTCCCCACTCTGCCCTCTGGTTGATATATGCGCAGCCGTCCATGGCGTCATCTGTCTGAACAGCAACGGCGTTGAAGACGGACCCCTCGTCAACAATCCAGCTGTTTTGCCCTCCAACTCTCTTCTTACCGATCCATGTGTGGGCTCCACCTGCCTGTCTCCTTACCATTAACCCCAGTAGGAGGTTTTCCAAGACGTTTTCTACGGTGACCAGATGGGCTTGGTAGTCACGGAAGCCTTCCCCAAGGTCAGCGCTGTTGCAGAAGCTCTCTGCTTCATTCCACGATTTCTCCTCACTGGCAACGAATTGGTAGCAGGAACTGCCCTGTTTTGTCCAGCCTGAAGGACAAGATGCTATTATGCTGGAAGAGACAGCGGGTCTAATTGGTCGGTTCATAGGGGAGGTCTCAAGAGCAGGTACCGACTGAGCTGGGGCCGATCGATCCGGGACAGGGGTCGTCTCAGCAGGGACAGATTGATCCGGAGGTTGAGGCCTTGGCGCTGCTGGAACGGCGTTACTCTGGCTAACCCCGCTTTTGCTCTGAGCCGGGCTTTTGAAGGCAGCTCCGAATTTGAAGGGAACCTTACCACCACCAGATCCGCTTCTTTGGACTTGGAAACTCTTCTTGAAATTCAGACCAGAGAAGGGCGACTTCTTGTTCGTCGAACCGAGAGTGCGTGTGCTGCTGGGTTTACTGCTCGTCTTCTTTTTCCACAGGTTGCTGAAGCTGAGTTTACGAGTTATGATTGGACTCTTCTTAGGTGCGCTCTGTGCTGGACTACTCCTGGATAACTTGAACCTTTTGGCAAAATTGCCGAAATTGAAAGTACCTCGCCGGTTTCTGGTGCTCCTATGCGGTTGCTCCGAGCTGTCCGCCCTGTCTACCTTACCTGTAAGTCCCAATGGTTCTTCGTCGGTCTCGGTGTCTGGTTCTCCCAAGTATAAGAGACATCGATTTTGAAATGCCACTAGGCCCACCGGGCAGCCACTCATCTTACAGATGTATGGTGCGGTTTGATCGCAGTCCAATGCTTGGCTCCATACCCCGTCTCCGTCCTTGTGCATCTCCATGCATCCACCGAGCGCGCCCCGCTGAGGGTCGGCCGGGCCTTCGCTTCCAAAGTCCCGCTCTGCTGTCCAAAAGAATCGGTCGCCATCAGGGACATCGTAAAGTCCGATCCACGTCTCCGAGAGGTTTTCATTTCCTGATAATGCCTTCTGCCATTCAGTGAGGAACCTGTACATCGATGACAATGTTCACACCATTTGTATTACGACTCTTTTAAGTCAACTGGATTATTGCTAAAAATTAACACATTCTGAAAAGCAACAAACTAACATGTCTAGCTCCGAAATCAGAAAATAAAACAAAATTCCATTACTGAAAAGCAACAAGCATTTCATGAACTGCTGTTATAAAGTTCAGGGTATGTTTATCTCCAATACAATCCTTGTTACCTGTTTTCATCGTCTGTGGCTATAGACACCAGATGACCGCTGGCCCCATCCTTCCGGTATCCCTGGCAGGAATCTTCAGCTGCAGTCCACGATTTCCCCTCGTCGAAGTACTTGAAGCAGCTACCGGCGTGCGGCGTCCAGCCCACGGGGCAGATGCTGAGTTCACAGGCGTAAGGTAGAGGGGCGTCACAGCTCGTCGACCACAGGGTTGGCTGGCCATCGTCCACGATTGCTTGGATACAGTCTCCTCCTCCGCTGATGTCAAGGAGCTCGTTGTCAAGGAGACTGAAGAGGTCAGTCGGCAACCCGTTTGACCAAGTCTGGAAAACAAACACCCATAATGATCTGTTAACAGACATTCCGTGCCTTCTCAATAGCGCCCTCTCAGAAGAAAATGGTAACCACCTTGGGGGATTAAAATATCCCGGTGTAATAAGTCTAAAAAAAAATTAGCACCTGGTGTAAAATAAACTAAGGCTTGATCAATACAAGGGCGGATCCAGGGGGGGGGGGGGCAAAGGGGGCCATGGCCCCCCCTCCCCACCAAAACGAAACCATTTTTTTTTTTAATGTGACATCGCAATAAAGGCAGGCAATGAGTACACCACCATCTTTTTCTCAACAAAAATTGGTTAAAGTGGTCAGAAATTGCCTCAGATCGCACCACAGAGCATCTAGAATCCAAATTTTTTTCGACCCACTTTTTTGGGGACCAACATTTTTTTTTTGCCCCCCCCAAAAAATTGTGTTCTGGATCCGCCCTTGGATCAATAGACGCGATTGCATAACTACAGAGTTGCAGGTTTTGCACTGACCATGGTCACTCATATTGTGTAGATGTAGTGCAACCCCCCCCCCCTCCCCCACAACCCACCCCCTCCCAAAAAAGTGCATAAATAAAAACAATTTTACCTGAGGCCAAAAAAAGGTTCCGGTTTCTGGTCTGCGCGCGCGTCGCCGTAGCCATGCGCGTCGGCAAAGTGTTTTTTTTTTAATGTAAGATGATGTCTCAAAATCGCCAACTCACTGGTTTGACTGGAACCCTGTTGCTACACAATTTTAACGTGTTTTTAGATGGGGTTACGATCGAGTATAAGCTTTATGTGGCCTCTCTGGGCTCCCATACATTTTACACTTACTTTAGTCGGGCACCATTTGCAGTCATCAGGCGAAATTTAAAGGGGAAAAAAGTAAGAAAAACAAAGCCGCGTCGCCGCACCACTTTTGGGCAAGCTCCATACCAGAAACCGGAGACTTTTTTGGGGCCTAAAATATCCATCATAAGAATGAAGGCCTCCTTACCGAATTGATTTTGATAATTTCCTCCGAATT